TTTTTGATCACCCGGTATATAAAAAAAGGAGCACGATTGCTACCAATTAGCGCGTAGATCGCTACTATCACGAAGTGAAAATAGTGAGCAATATATTCTTAATTTTCTGGAGAGAACTTAGAGCTCAATATTTACTAGTTATCTTGTAGTCCTTTAGAATTTTTTGATGTCAGAAAACTGAAGAAATATGCAATGCCCTCGACGGGATTCGAATTCAGGCCCCCTTGATTACGCGTCGGACGTGCTTTCAGTGATACCATGAAGGCACTCGGAAAGGAGGAAAAAGTACCTTGTAACCTATTTTAAAAATAATTTTAAGTAATTATTTCCTTTTAAAATAATTTCTTTTCTTCTATATTTGCTTCAGTTTGAAAACCATTCTAAAAAAAAAATTTTAAATGTTTAAATTGCTGCTCAACATTTTTATCTTCAGAAAGAATTTCATCTAGAATTATCTTCAGAAAATGAGCCTAACATCCCATATATTTCATTTACATTGCTTCAATAAAAATAAATGTATTTTAAAACGAATTAATAAATTTATGTCTGATTAAATATGGTTTTAAGTATTGTTTTAATTAAAATTATTAATTTCTCTTCTGCATTTCCTCATTATCTTATTTTTATTTGTAGAATCGAAGCTTCGAAAGCATTAAAAAATTCGAGAATTGTTATATTTCAGATTCGGGAAAATTTAGGATTCGTCTCAGTTCTAATTTTAAATGACTGAATTACTGCTATAACAGTTCACTTTTTCAATTTTGTGGAGGGGAAAACCTTTCAGATTTGGCACTTTAGTATTTCTCAGATAAAAGTAACTTTTCTTGAAATCCGAATTTTATTAGAATTTTCTCTAAAAACGGAAATCCCAAAATGTAAAAGCACAAACGAGAACAATTCTCAAACATAAAATAATAAATCGAAACACATTAATCTGAAGCAGCTGATTAGAAAAATTATTATCATTTTTTAAATTTTAAATTAAATTTTTTCATACTTTAATTAGAAATAAAATATGATGCTACTGGAATGCGAGGACTCATTTTCCTGATCCAAAATATCTAATTTTATAATAAGCCAAGAATATTTCCCTATTAAATTCTTATTTCTTCCCCCTTTAGTAAAGACATACGGATTTTATTGCAAAATATTACAATCATAAAATCCGAAAATAACAGCTGCGATCATGAAAATAAATGAATGTAATAATATTTAATATGCAGCAGGCTTAAACGCTAAGCCTAATGCAATTTAATTAATTTAGACAATTTTGAGTAAATAAGTTCTAATAATAAAATAAAGTCTATTAAATAGCTAACCCTTTCTGCTAATGAAGACTTCGATTTCGGTTTGGTTTATTTAATTCTGGCAAAGAATGCGAGATCTATTTGTCTAAGGGGAGGTATGCTTTCACCCAGGACTTTCCAAGGGAAACTGGCTGGTATAATGAAATCAACTGTGAAACTGTAATTATAACCTTCAACTCAATATTAGAGTGGAGAAGAGATATCAATGTGCATCTTTGGGCTCCATTTTATGGGCTCTGTGTTTTATTCCGAAGCCTAGCCGGCTCACCCGTTGCCCAGAGAAATGGCTGCCTCTGAAAATGAAAAACTAGAGATAACTGAATTATGCTCCAATTCGCAGTTCGCCCAGAGTTTTAGCCAGAAACAGAGTTTGTGCAGATGTTTCTTCGGATACAAAGCACCCTGAGTACGGGTCTCAATTTCCCTCAGATCCGAAGCCTTAGTAGAGATTCCTCTTCCCGAATAGCGATCGATGGTATAATGGGTTAGTTGCTTTCACAGATTAGTCACTTCTTCCATTTACTGCCTTTATCAAATTTTTCCTTTAGACACCGAACAGTATAAATGGACCAGCAGATATGTATTAACAGAGCAACTTAATTTATTATGCCAATATCTTGCGATTTGTATTGAAAAGATGTAAGGTTTTTCTCCCGCCTTCCTAGCGTGTCTTCGTGGTGTAGTGGGTCAGCACATTGAGCCGGTATTTCAGAGGTCCGTGGTTCAATTCCCGGTGGAGGCGTTGCTAATTTTTCATCTCTTCTGCTTCCAAAAATCATACAAAGATATGTATATTATTGCTGCTAAAATCAAACAAAATGTATAAATTCTAAATAACTCTGTTTACAGTAACAATTGATAGGCTTGAGGTAAGTTCGAAGTTGAAGTTCTCGTAACTTTCTGAAGCGTTGAAACGACGCAATATGAAACTGATTAACCCCCGCTTAGTTCCAGTCTCTCCTGAGTAGATTATCAATTTCTCGCTGCAAAAATTATTTACGTCATCGCCAGAAAATACTAAATGTAACAGACTGTTGCCAAAATGCTATTGTTGCATAAGTAGAACATAAATTAAAATAGATGGAACAAAACTTGAGAGCTATTTCTCTACATAATTCTACTTAGTCAGCAGTTTATATAGGAGGTTTTTGGAGCTGAGTTATCACAAACGAAATGAAAGAATGGCAAATGAAAGGGCTTCCTCAAAACACGCACACAGACAAATCTTAGTGCTATAGGCTTATGACTGGGACTTCCATTTCATTTCATTTTAAAGCTACCAGAGAACTCATAAGATGGAAGCAAAGTTTAGAGTCTTTGTGATAATACGACACATAACCTATGTTTAACAATTTTCTAGTAAATTAAACTATCACTGGTTGGCACGTATTTCGCTGAAGATTACGTGTATAACAAAATTAGACAAATATCTATAATAAAACATCGTTGCATTTTATTCACAAATGTAAAGCTTTGCGTAGTGATTAAATTCCCTTTAACTACATATAACATATACTAGTAGTCAAACTAAAGTATTTTGAAGAAAGATACACTTTTAGAAACTGTCTCAGACATGTCTATCAAAAATAAGGGCTCTTTGAGAGACCACTTATTTAGCTTCGTGCTTAAACAACCTATCGTACAGTCGGCCCAATTCAGATAAGCTCTTAAACGCACCACTTAATAAAACAAATTCTGAAAGCTTTTGATATCGGGCGCATTAGTGATAAGGGTGTCGAAGAAAGGAAGCTCCACTTCCGTATTTTAACGAATCGGATCCTTTCTTATTTTCATATTGAAAGCTTCCAATATTTACGCAGAGTGATGCAAGTTTGAGTTGGAGGGAGCACCTGAAAACACTTTTTTCAAAGCTCTTCAGTCTGCCGCCTGCTATTATTGAATAAGGAAAAATTTGTATGCACGTATATTTGTACATATTTTCCTCACATTGTGGAAAAATCACATTACCTAATGCCACCAAATTCCCAGCACATTTGCTCACATCTACCCAAACATGTGTATCTTGAAGTCCAAATTTTGAATTTCGAATTTTTTTATTTATTTATTTTATGGTTTGTGTAAACGTAATGAAACTGTGATTAATAAACTAGGGAATTAAAAAAACAACATATTCCCACTCGGTAAAGCGTAATATATTCGTCTAGCCACCCATCCGGGAAAGCGGTTAAGGACTCTGACTGCCGTACCGAAAGGCCGGGGATTGTATCCCGGAGAATGCATGGGTGTTTGTAAAGGTTTAGTGTCTATGCGGCATGGGGGCACTCAAAATATGCGGCTAGCTGAAAGTCCTCTCGAGAGATCGATGGTAAGGGAACAGAGGGGGGAGACCCTCGGATCTGTCTCCTGCTTGGGTGCTCTCCTTGAAAATTGGGGACGGAACTGAGAAAAGTCGTACTGTAACCTGTTTGGTCCCCAAGGCACTTGTAAAAGACAAGGGCCATCTTGCCTCCATGCCAAGACGAATTTTGTAGGCTTGATCTGATATCAGACAACAGCAACAACATATTTGTCTTGCAAAGTCACACAACAAAAACATATTTGTCTTGCAATGTCACACAAAAAACATATTTGTCTTGCAAAGTTACATTGTTTTGCAAAGTCACACAACAGCACATTTGTCTTGAAAAGTCACAACAACAACATAGTATTTTCCAAATTTAATAATCAAACTCAGCGATTTAATAGATGTGTTGCCACTGCACTAAATAAAATATTTTTATCTGCCAAAGGCAAAAAGCTATATATTTTTTTTTAAAAAAAGCTATATAATATGTTTTTTTGTGTGACATTTCAAGACAAATATGTTTTTGTTGTGTGACTTTGCAAGACAAATATGTTGTTGTGCCTTGGGGACCAAACAGGTTACAGTACGACTTTTCTCAGTTCCGCCCTAATTTTAAAGGAGAGCACCCCAGCAGGAGACAAATTCGAGGGTCTCCCACCTCTGTTCCTTTATCATCGATCTCTCCAGAGGACTTTAAATTTAATATCTCTATTATTGATTAAAAATTAAGAAATTTAAAAAGAAAAAATACAGTTCTCCATCTGTGTTATGATGAATTACTAACTGGGCCCGTGGAATTATACTAGTTCTACTCATTATAATTATTACAGATTTTCCGTTTTTTAGTGACTAGTTTAGGTGGCTGGTCGCGCAAGGGGCTAGCATTTAAAACAATTAAATAAATTGTTCAAATATATATTCTTTTTCTCAATTGAAATGTGACAACGCAAAGCATTTTTTAAGATAATTAAAAATAACTGAACGACATTACATCCTCAATCATAATCAGCACTGATATCATTAGACCGCGTAGGTGAGAAATATAAGTATCATGATCATTATTTCGATGAAAGATGGTATGGATTAGGTATGATTGCATAGCACCCGGAATTGTACTGCACAACACTAATATAAATTCTTAATCAAATTATAAAAAAACTTATTTGATTTAAATTTCTGAAGCTTTAAGCTTAACAACCAAATAATTCATATGCGAAGCTTTTTTTAAATATCCGTTATTATACGGTTTTTATTTTACTGTGCTCCTGCCTTTTTATGAATACATGATATGGGAAAGGTTTCAAAAGTGTGCAATGTAATTAGCAGTTGTAGACAGTAAAAAATGCAAATTCAATACACAATTTTTATCTGATATGCAATATTTTCAGGTAGTTTTGACATACTTTGGAGCTACGAAAAAGTATGTAGAAGTGGAGAAGATTCACTGGCCTCAAGGGAAAATACCTGAAGATAAACCGAAATGTGGCTTTGATGGAAATGACCCTTCTTGTGTCAAGAAAGGTACTTACTTTATACTTTTTCCCTAAGAATAAAGATACAGTTAACCAATATACTTAAATAAATGCTAAAAAATATTAATAGTTTTAGGTAAATCTATTCAGTTTGTAGGGTTGATATTTATTTTAACTAACATTTATTTTAAGCTATCTTTCCTGTCAAGCCTTTACTTTCCCCTGGAATTGCCAATGTCAGAGTATGTAAATTTTAGTAGAAGTAAGTTAAGTTTAAATAGAAGGGAAGCGAGATTGTAAGTGTGCTTCTTGAATCACGAGCGGGAAGGTTGCTTATTAGAAAGTTTAAGAACCGCGCGTTTCGGCCTGTGTGCCTATTTAGACAGTTCGTTGAATCTTTTAAATTCTTAATCAGAAAGTTTGCTGAATCTCAGCTGTATCTTAGAAAGCGGTTAAGATAGTTACGATTATAGAGCCGTAGATAGGATTCGTTAGTTATTATCTGTCATTTATTTTTAGTTGTACTTTTCTATTTTTGTTTAACCGGGCGGGTCGGCGTAATTTGTGTGCGTCAAGGAACGCAATGTGATTTCTAAGTGAAATAAAAAGGGAGTTAAGAGTCTTCTTAAGAGTCTGTGTAATTTCCAGTTCATAGCAGTCACTACTACTATTGCTGACAAGTTGAGGCCTCCCAACATCACAAGTTTTTGTATAGGTTTGCACAACTCAAGCTGTCAAAATAGTAAATAACGTTTATCCAGATATTTCTATTATGTTGTTGGATAAATCCTCTTAAGGATTAAGCATAAATATAGAGACAGCAAGGTACTTTTTTTGCTGCTCTATAATCTCTCATGAATAAGCTAAAATATGAAAACTGCTTAGTTTCCTTCATACAATATGATCCGAGAAAGGTTTAGTTCTGTAAAATAATGACTTTATATCCCTGAATTATTTCTGGATACCAAAATTATGCTTTTAAAGAATGGGCTGCCTGTATGAGAGCTTCGTGGCTTTCTCCATGCGTAATGTGTGTACGAGCCATTTTTCCTTAGAAAGCTCCTCCACGACGACATCCCTTTCCCAAGGCAGATATCCCTCGAGGGTTTGTTATAAACAAGTTATACAACCTTCTCTTTATCGTGGGCAGGTATTGTTTACATATACACTTGATACCAAATTTAAGTAAAACCATATAGACCTATAAATTCCAAGATATTATTATATTTTATTTTATATCTAAGGTATATAAAAAATATAAAACTTGAGAAGGTACTTGAGCTTAGAATTTACCGATACGAAGTAACGTGCGGCTGATATGCATATTATGCAAATCATATCTCTGGTGGATTAATAAGATTAGGTAAGCAATTTCGCAATTGAAGAGAAAAAAGAGAATGATGTGGACAGATATTTCGCTGCGACAGAGAAGATATAATATTCTGAAAGCTTTCTAAAACGGAAATGGAAGTTTAATATTCATCCTTAATTTTTAAGACATGAGCAACATCTGCATAATAAAATATATTTACTTATGTGTAAGTAGCTGTAAATAGCATTTAACTGTTCTACTGCATAAAAGATCGAATCAAGAACCATATACACACACACTACGACAATGCGCATTGTTACAGAGTAGAAAAGTTGCCTATTTAATGAATCAAATGAATTTTTCATCCCTATGGAGTAAAACGTCTTTTTAAATGCTAATTACTAGAACTTTCCTGACTTCAAATACGGAAGTTGAATTACACTTATCATAAGTACAGCTCTTCAAATTAAAAAAATCGCAGCAATTACCCCAAATTAGGGCGCCACAGACGTCGATGCGCAAAATTAGTCAGCCACTCAAGATATACAATAAATCAACACACCAATAACCTAATTACCTCTATTTTTCATTCTATTTTTATTTAATTATTATTTCTTGCTTTTAGAAGAAGACATTGATTAAAAGTAAAACTGGTAGAAAAGAAACATGTCGAGAGTTTTGTTGTTAGATAAGTAGTAAGAAAACTTGCATCGGAAGTTTTAATAACTCAAAAAATCATTATGTAATTTTTGAATTGCTAAAATCCATCTTATTATAAATAATATATAAGAATATTGTTTGCAATATCATTCGTAAATTATTGGCATTGTAAATAAATATGCAAAATTATACTTGGAAACATTTTACATAATATTTTACGCATCTCTATTCTGTTTTGAATTTAGTAGTAAATTATTCAGTAGTAAATTATTGTATTGATTGTTAGATATCGTGTTGATTTTTAGATATCGAACTTTAAAATAAAATCTTAGTCTATTTAGACCTCCTTGCCTTGAGGAGTCTTAGGAAAGTTCCTGTGTGAGTGCTATGACTCTCGTATGGTATATGAGTTATATTATATCAGTTTATGTCCCCATCAAAATTTATTTAAATTTGTTCATCATTTCTGGAGCTATCGATCAAATGTGAAAATTTTCTCTGATTTGATCACCGGTGTACCTACTCATAATGCTGTTGTAGTTTGTGGAATTTTGAGAGAAAATATAAGAGCTACGATTCCTAATTCACCTAATATGCGAACGTTAGACTTCTTTTTATTTCTACAATTAAGACTGGCCATTTGTGATCACTATTTATGTAATGTAATTTTCAGTTTTTTGATACAATAAAACAAGATATTGAAAGGTTTCCCAAATTCACTGATGAGATTTGTGAGGAGTTATCTATTTATGTTTTACTATTAGTTAATTTTTAATGCTTTCCTGTCACTCTCTTTTCACCACACGTTTCATGCCAAAATGTAAATAAGACAGCAAGCGTTTACTCAGATTGAGGAAGAAAGAAGAGCTATTTAAGAGAAGGTTTCGCAAGTTAGTTTTTGAGCGTGTTCTGCCTACTTCAGTTTAAGCTGTACCGTGATTTATTAGCGATTTGATTCTGTGGCGTTGAGTGCTATTGGGTTTCTCTAGCTAGTTTTCTACAAGCCAGAGCCTTTCCTGCGCGTTACTTTATCCAATGAGCCGTTACGCTAACCTATTACATTTGATATTATTTCAACATTACGTATTTAAATTAAGCCAGAAGTGTTGGCTTGCGTAATGTTGCTTTTTTGTGTTCAATAAAAGGGTGTTCCGTCTTCTGACTTTTGTTTCGTTTCACAAGACTTGAAGGTAATTCTTCAATAGTTTCTTTTTTAAAGCCTGTAGTTTATGCTTCCTAAAAATACCAGACATTACAGAGTAATATATATTTTACTACATCGTATTTACCGATATTATATCAGCAATTTTAATGTAACATTATATATTTCAAATCATTATCTGTAAGCTTCAGTAGCGCAAAATAAAATTTGATTTCTGTAGATTTTGATTTTTAACGAAAATTCGTTTTGCACATTTTGTAATTTTGCAGGACTTTGGATTTTAATCACTTATGTACAATAATGACATACTTTATTATTATGTTTTTATTTCAGGTTTAAGGATTCTAGAGATGTCTTTGGTCATTACATTATTTCTCTTGGTTATAATAATCATTCTTGGAATACTTACTTACAGGTAAGCAGAAACGTTTTTTTTAATTTAACATTTTTGTTAGAGATAGAGCGTGTGTGTTTATATCAATTTCGGCAAACAATGTTAACTGTAAGTTAAACCTGAATTTTCCGTATTAGTAAATTCAGTTTGATTAATGAACGTAAGAACATCAGTGCGTTATTCGTTCCGGACGACTTAATGTAGGCGTGTAATATTCAATTACACTGAAGTTGCAGTTTTAAAGAATTGCAAGAGTAAGAGAATAGAAATGAATCTTTGGATTACTGCCAGTGTTGAGTTGACTTAGCCAACAATTAAACGAATAAAGGATGCAAAAAAGTTTTATTTTTCCTACCTTGTTTTAGAAAATTAGGATTTTATTTAAATGTGAAAAAACAGATTCTGATTTATAATTTAAGGCAGGGTTTCTTAAACTTTTTTCAGTCGCGACCCCTTTTTATCACTGAGATATTTTCGCGACCCCCAGAATCCCCCATAATATTTACGAAAATTTTGTGAAACCCCATAAGCATTGCGCAAATCCAACACACGCGTATGTGAAACTGTCAATTTTTTTCACTTGTTATATTTTTCCAGTTTTAGACCATTAACTTTAATTTCTAATTTTACGGCATGGAACAATGTGAAAATTGTAAATAAGTAACAGACGAAATGACAGCGTCACATGCAAAGCAAGTAAATGAACGTTTCTATTATAAAAAGAATACGTCGAAACGTTTTCCTTTTTTCTTTGTCTGTATTGCGCCTTATCTTTATATATTTTCAGATATATTGTGTAAAAATATTTGGCAATTGTAAAATCATTATAATAAGTTAAAGAAATATCAAAACTGCTAAATTTTTGGCGACCCCCCGACAGTTTAAAAAACGCTGATTTAAGGAATACAAACAAATTTCATAAAATTTGTTGAGAGAAATCAGAACAGCCAGATTAATATTTTAATTTAATGCCAGACAAGATTACAATAAAGCCAGGAAAAAACTAACAATAATATTAAAAACAAGAACTATTTTGAATAAATTTAAACACATTTTTCGTACTATTATCATAAAAAATATGCATCTTTCTAGTGCATCTCTGTTATACTCATTGGAAAAATTATAACATGAGACATAAGTCTTTATCAAATGTAAAGTGTTTTGGCATTTCCTGAAGGTGTCGGAAGGTACTTATGGTGTTTATTCCATAGCAGGAATCCTACTTAGAGTACCATCCAATAGATTATACAGATTATATTCTCTTTTTCCATTTTAAATCAGAAGACAGTGCAAAATATCTTCTCAGTTAAGGCGTTAGTAATTCAAATTTTTAATCAGATGAATGGCTGGTTAACTCATTAAATCAAAGCATGTTGAGGCTATCTGCTCCAAAGGAAAGGCTTACTTTTGAAAAGAAATACTCATACTTACGGTATACATGGTGGAAATTCCATGTCGTTTAGCCTATAACTTATTTCTCCCACTTCCCTAGCGAGCCTTCGTGGTGTAGCGGTAGCACGCTGGGCCGGTATTCCAGAGGTCCCGTGGTTCGATTCCCGGCGAAGGCGGTTGCATATTTTTCATCTTTTCTGCTTCCGAAAATATATCTAATGACTCTACAAGTAGAGCCCGAACTAAAAGGGCTGTGGATGATGATTTTTCATCTTCTCTACTTCAACTTAACCTAATGACTCTACAAGCCCATTAGCTGAAATTAAACACATTATTGTAAAGCTGGTAATTTGATTGATGTTTAGATGTTTAAGGGGTAGGTTGATGGTTAGATGTTTAAGCCTGTGTGTAGAAGGAATACCGCTGTGGAGGGTATTAAAGTGGCTCATATTTAAGGCACACATGGGAGACATCATGAATCCTTCAGAGCCCCTTTGAAATGCTAATTAGCATTGAACATTAATTAAATTGAACTAATTAACATTGAACATTAATGTTCAATGTTCATATCCGCTTGGTCACTGTGCAAGTGAGATAGTATATTTGCTGAAAGGTATATTGTATTATCTGTTTGGGTGTATATAAATCATATCTAGCTATTTTAAAGTCACAAATAAAAGTGATTCTAAATTTTAAGCAAAACACCACTGAAAAATTAAAAATTTGCTAATGCTTCATATTGAAAGTAAAAATATAACCGAATAAAACGCTTTAGTGAAGATTATAAAAATGTATGCGTCTTTTAAATATTAAACTCTAATATTAAACAGGTGAAAATTAAAGCAGATGTGGACACAGATTTAAGGATGAAGCAGCCAAATATATCCTTTGATGCATACCAAATGGGAGCAATACCTATGGAAAGTGGCTTTAAATAAGGCCAATCTGACAATCTCGAAAGAAATAAAACTTTTAAAGGTTAAATGCACTTTATATTATCAGAATCTGAAATTAAAAACTGCATTTATAAAAATGAGAATTGAAATTAATAATGTGTGTTGAATAACGGTGGACAAAAAAAGAAGTAGAACCCATGCATGATAATTTCCTGAGAGGAAATAATATGTGTTATCAGAGAAGAAATGCCGCGATAAAACAAAGCTACAATCTATTTTAATGACTTATCAACAAAGATTTCCGACCAGGATATTTATTTTTTATTGCATCTATATTTGAACAGTAGTTACAAATATCACACTCAGTAATAAATACAATAACATAAAACTCAATTTAGAAAGATAATGTTTTTAAATTTAGTCTTAGTATTTCATAAATATACAGTTTCAGTGGATAATGTTTTTCAAATTCTGTTTTAAAAGGAAATAACAAGAAACTCCAAAATGGCTACTTTCTAAATATTTTGATTAATTTTTGTTTGAAAATAATAAACACATATTCTGAGGAATAACAGCAGAAAGATTTTAATGTAAAATTTCTGCTTAATAAATCATCAGAACTTACATTAACTTTTAAGACATTAATGAATTTTGAAGAGATACATATTTTTATTTTCTACTTTACTAACAAATATACATTTGGTTTGGAGAGGTGCTATTGTATATTTATTAGTAAGGTAGTTATTCAGTCCAGAGTAACTTTATTTTACTTAAAATATCAGTTGTAATAAATAACAGTTTTGAGAGAACTTTCATGCATTTGTTAATAGAAACTTCGATTTGAAAATTATCTAATGTTAAAGAATAGCACAAAAGGCGTCTGGTACATCTAAAATTAAAATCTTAAAACTCTAATATGATTTCAACGGTAGATTTATTTGTATCTGAGGAAGTAATACAGTTTGTTTGCTTCGTGTCCAATATTTATTTATGCATAAAATATCAAGTTTGTAGATAGATCTACAGAGCTTAGAAGTTAGAAACTTTGCTTTTAATAATGTACTATACTCAAAATTTTGAAAAGAGAATTCAAATTAATGAGGCAGTGAATTATTCTATGATGTGATGCTTTATTTTAAGATTAAATGCTTGCAGCATTAAGTAAAAAAGTGCGAACATAGATAAACTAAAATAAAATTTACGTAAAAATTTTTAAGTGCATACCGCAACTAAAGTATTATTCTACATTAACAATATTATTCTAAAAATATACTTTTGATTGTTGTTCAGATATATGACTCAAAAAGCCGTTTCGAGGCTGATAGTTTTTCTGGGGTAAAGCCCCTTTGAGCTAAAAAAGGAAAAGAAAGGTTTCAGATTTTAACGGCTACTCAAAAGGGTATGTTAAGGAATTTATGGTCTCGTTGAACTCGCAGTCTACTAGTCTGCTGTTAAGTAGTAGTATATACTTTATTTGTACCCGAATTAGAGATTTGCAACTTTCAACTAATATCACATTTTTGCGAACTTAACTTAATAGTAACGTGTAACTTAATAATAAAAGGCAGTAATTAATATCTGTGAAAAAAAAACTGCTTCATCTATGTTAAAAGCAACCTATTACATTTGAAAACATTCAATACAAATTTAAAATGTCCAAAATTTAATTTACTATTTTTTCTCTCAAAGAATGATTAATGGCAATTTTTCCATAACCTGTCTTTCAAGAGAAAAGAAAGAAAATTATGAAATTCTTACATGAGAAAGTAATCAACAATCCTCAAAAGTTCTTACAGAGTTCGTAACACAGTTTCGAGAAAGTAATTAATGTTCGCAAAATGTAATAATTAAAAAATGAATAAAGCTAAAATCTTTCATAGTTTATCAAATGAAAAATCAAGCGACCAAGAATTAATTTAGTAATGTCTTGCTTCGATGTATCATTAATAGCATTAAGACTCATTTATCGTTCTTTAGAGTTGTGCGGTTTTTAGACATAAATAAAATTCTACTGATTTAGAATAGAATTTAAACCCTTACCATTGACAGCCTGATATACTGCTAAAATCATCATTTGTTTAGAAATAATAATAATTTAATACATGATGAAAGTATATTATTACTCTCAAACGTTTATTTCTAGAAAAATACAACTGGAATCTAAGTTAGCAAATATGTCTTGGAGAGTAAGATGGGAAGAGATCACTTTCACGAAAGACATGCGCAGTAGCTGCATGATGAATCGTTTGTCCATTAGCAGTGCTGTAAGTACATTTAAATTCCTGATTTGTGTATCTTTCTATAATGTACTATAAGATAATAGTTTTCTTTTAATTCTTAGAAATTACATTGTATAAATATTTACATAGATGTCTGCTAAAATGGAACATGGTTGGGTTTGCTGGACACCAACATTTCCAGATGTAAGTAAGTGGTTTACATATATTTTATTGATATAATTCTATTTGAAGGATTCGTAATTACAGATGATTGTCGAACTTACTTTCGCAATTAATTATCTTTCCTTCAGTGTAAAATGATTTAAATGCGAGACATAATTATTACACAAATTTTAGTATTTATTAAAAATAATCAAATTCTAAATAATAAATTTATTTGCTTAGTTAAAAGGTAATTGAATTGAACTGAGGAAATAGCCAAATGAAGTGTATTTAGGTTTAACACTAGCCAAAATGTATGTTACAAAAGTAACTACATCAAAAAATGAATAATATCTTACTGAAAAGGAACTTACTAAAGAGCTATTTCGAAGTATCATTAATTCAATTATCAGAAAAATAGCCAAATTCCACAGGAAAAAAGAGATATCAAAACGCGTGAATTGAAAGGAAGGCATAAATTCTGTATAATACATTAAAATAATTATGCACTTCTTCTCGTACTTTCTTTCTCTTTAAAACGTTGTTCCTCTTGATGGCAAAGACAGAGTATTTTGTTATCAGGTTATTAGCTTAGGAGCTGTTCAGTTTTGTTTTGTACAAGTTTACTTCATCCTGTATATACAGTATGTCCGTATGCACAGTATTGAAATAAATTACCTAAAATAAGTCTGGGGAAAGAGAGAAAACTCAATTAAGCCCATCTGATGTCCTGGAATTCCCGATAGCTCGTTATAAAAGGAACAACTACCTCAGGCTATAGAGAATCAAGAATTAGTGACTTATTTGAAGTAATATTTTCAATCATCTTGTCTTAACGAGAAGGAAAATCTCAGATATAGCCCCGATTTTGCTTTTCCTGCTGATAAATTTGGCTAAATGTTAGACCAGCAGTATACAAATGTTTAATGATTAACGCTATCATTTCTGCTAAATGGTCAGCCATATCTATAGCATAGATTTCGCAGTGTGCCCAAACTTGTTTCAAGGACATCTGGAAGAGCAGGCTCTTATAACTCTTTGGAATCCAGAACTCGAATACAGTTCATAGACTTGTTATTTGCAAGAGACTGATGGGCACATTTTAAGTACCACAGAATTACCATCATTTCGAAGGCGGAGTCGCTGGAAGGAAATATAAATATTCCCCTTTTTCGTCGATGGATTAATTTTTTTCCCAAAGGAATGCACAAAAATAAGAGTTATCAAGTGAACATCATCTGCCCTTTCTTCATCACTTGAGAAAGATCCGTCTGCTTCAGCAGGAACATAAATATCTCCATAATTATGATCTTCAGCGATAGATATTTCAACAAAATATAGTTAGTAGTTGCTTTGTGTTCATTTTGTTTATTTATATATTTATGTGTAACAGTAAATGCACATTCGTTTTTATGAAATTGAGAATGTTATGTCGAAGATGAGAGTTGTCGTATGAAGAAAATTCAGTTCTTCAGTAACCCAGAATGCTTCCTAAATGAAACCATTTCATCTTATCTCAATTTTCTATAGCTTAGATAAAATTATAGTATCACCAATAAAAAAAGTATATTCAAATACACAATCCGCAATAAAATGATAACTTTAAACTAGGGATTAAATTTCAATAACGAATTAATTCTTTGGCAATAAAAATGGGACTGGAATTTAGTGAATTAAATTAATTCGGCAATAAAGAGGTATTAGAGAAGGAATTAAAGTTGTACAGCCGAAACACATCAGAGATGCCTTAACTTCTCAAAGTGAATAACTAGAGTAAAAAACAAGCAGTTTATGTTCCTAAATAAAATGTTTACTTCGAAGTATCCATTTGTACGTCCCAAGTACAGTCCAAAAGTTGGCATATAAAATTAATTCAGGCATATAATAAGATATTATTTGAATCATAAAAAAACTCAAATGAGAATGGATTAGATTGGGGTAACTTCATATGGCGAATGAGGAAGAAATTACTCCAAAAAAGTTTGGATCTAAAGGTAATAAAATGACACAAATACTTCTCATAAAATTAAACTTACAGGTCTTTTGAAATATTCCCGATTAGGTATTTGGCATAGGAAGAGAGCACTGGAAAATCGGAGAATACTTTAAGACGGGGTGTGTCTATTATGCAATCAAATAGTCCCTTGATATTGCCAAATATACCTTACCCGAAAGCAAGATGAATAAATTGAAATGTTTCGGAAGCAAGTGGAATAAACTGAAATGTGCAAATTTAATAAATTTCATTTTGTTATGGAAGCTTATATTTAAATATAAACCGGAACTGCCCACTCTGAGGAGAAACTGTAGAAAGGAATAGGATGCTGATTATGAGATGCTCGGTGTTGTGTAGAGGTTAGTTTACTTGAATATGACAATGCCCACACGGGCTGTCCGTCGATGAGAAGGGATGACTTTATGGAAAACTATACAAACGAAAGTATAGTAACCGAATATAGAAAAGAAATAGAGAAAAAATAGAGAAACAAAGATGAAAGAATATGGACTTTAAATTCTTCTCTTCAAATCATTGATTAGATAATTATGAAACAAAGCTGCATTTAGTTTGGTTTATGTGATTGTGAAAAGGGAAGGAATGCCATCGTAGAAGACTTTCTAACAGAAACTGGCTCGTATTCATGTTACACATGGAGATATCCCCGAAAACCCACCATTCAGCCAGCTCGTTTCCCTAGATTCTAACCCGAGCTGAACTATGAGTATTCAGAGGTCTTAATCACTCGGACACTAGTGCAGGCGTCACACGGACACTCAGGCGATGAGAAACTGAGCGCCAGAAACCTGATGAGATATTAGGTTTTTTCCTAGTTTGTTTGATCTTTTTTTTTTTAAATTTTTATTTGTAAAATTTTTGTCTTTTCCTATTGTCATTTGAAATGAAATAAAATTTTAAATACTAAAAATTTCACGAAAGGTTTTCTTTCGTCTATCATTCACGACAGATATCTTTATTAACAGCATTTGAATAACATACTTCAGAGGTACCTGATGTCAGATATTGTTATGAATGGCATATAAACAATAATATTTGATACAAGTATCATTATTACAAGTAATGATCAACTGATCATAATACGGAGATTTAATAACTAAAAAAACAGAAATCCTCCATTAAAATTATTAATGTCATCTTAATACCATAACTGTTCGCTTGTAATATTAACTAACTGAAGTTTTAAAACAAATGTATGTATTAATTTATGGCCCACGTCTAAAACAAAAATTAATTTCAAACATACATTCATTCTTAATTCGATTATCAAAGAAATTTATGATTTATATTTTTCTTAAGCTAATATCTCAGGTTTCAAAAGTGACAGAGGTTCAGATATTCCCCAGTTTGATTTAAAATCTTAACAATTTTAACTTTTTCAATTAATTTCATTGATTTATGTAACTTTATTTGTTGATATATTACTTTAAAATCAGTTGTTCATTCCATATTATTGAAAAAAATGCGCTTATTACAACATCAACAAAAGATAATATTTCATATTTTATTTTCTTGAACTCAATTACAAAACTCCTGTCTCGGTTACAAGTCTAATATGAAACATAAAATCCACATAAAATCTTGAAATCTTTCTATTTTAAAACAAATTACTCAAACATTTGGTATTTCTTCTGTATAACCAGCTGTAATCTGTATAACCAACAATTCTTTCGTAATCTGTTTCTTAATACATGTTAAAGGACTACTTTGATAATAAATTAAAATTAAAATTCTAGTAAATATTAAAAGATAATACGCTTTTAATATCCAATATTATCATATAGCTAAAGGTCGTTGGCAAATTAGCAGATTATTAAGGCAGTATCCAACAACTGTAAAGGTTACTGCAGAAGTACTTCCGTTTCCGCTACCAGATGACTTGCTTTTCTTATTCGCAGCCGAGTGTTTCTCAGATGCAAAGATACAGTTGTCAGTTCTTTCGGCTTAAGTTGAAATAAAGATGCCTCAGATTACAGAAGCAGTTTCTAATTTCAGTTTTACTCATGTAATTAACTGAATATCTTAATAATGTCATGCTGAAGAATTTTAATCAATAAATGATGCTTGACTATTTTGATATTTACAACAGTACTTAAAAGAGGCACCCGTCTGAATAAAATCAAAGCAAGTTACTGAAAAGCAGAATTTACTGGACTATTAAATTTCTCAAGAAGAAATTGTAACTAACCGATGCAAATTCCTAAGAAAGTTGAATTTCAGTTGTGTGAATGTGATATGTGAAAAAATGTGATATTTTCCCAAGGATTGTACCAACTGTAAACGCTCAGGAATATGTAAATTTATTGAAAAAATAATTTTATAAAATACCTTTGATAATAAACATTTTATAATTAAAAATCCTTTTACACACCGAAAGAATGTACAATGTATAAGTTTGTGAGTTTTTTCTTTATATATGGGAGATAAATAAATTGCAGCTAATCGATCTTAAACACTAGTATAAACAATTCAGCTTCTTACCATTTATTCCTTTGAAAAGCTTGATGGACATTCTTTGAAAGTCTCTGAATTAAATCGTTAATTGCAAAGCATGTAGTATTGATTTTGTCCATACATCTAAGCCATACTAAAGATCTATCTTTCAAAGGATATTGTTGTAAACTGCCATTTACTCATTCATTGCATGAAAAGAGATGGACAAGAACTTGAGGGTGGAAGCATTATTTCTTTTGCAGCCCTAAACAGTTTTGTTTCAGAATATTTATATAAATTAGCTTTCAATGCAGTCGTTAGCAGGAATTCTTTTAAGTTTTAATTTATCTGCAGCCAGTTCCAAATACGAATTAGAACATTAAGTATAAGACAATAAGTTTAACTGATCAAACATATTCAACAACTTTCATTTTAAACCATTTTCTATTTAACATCTTTGCGTTATATTTAAAAACAACAAGTTTTAAAAATATTGTTTGAAATGATTTAAAAGCCTAATAGTTACATGCATTGTCTTGTGAAAGCACAAAATCCTCGCTGTACACTAGAAAAAAATGGCGGTTCTTATTTGACAATTTTTCTGTTAAGTTCACATTATTAATTACTTCGAGTTTAAAGATAAGGCTGATAAATAAAGAAAAAGGCGGAGGTAATTCTATACGCATGATTTTTTTAGGGTTAATATGTCTAGCCTTCAGTTTCCAAATTTTGATTTATTACATAAAGATCTAGTTTCAATCATTATATTTTGCAGAAATTTAATTATGATTTTTTTGCATTCTTTTTCAGATGTCTAATTAAGCGTTGAGGAAATATGAAGTGCTTATGTAAATCCTTATTTAAGTAATGATTTTTTTTCCTTTCAGGACTCTCAGGAGTTTATTTGCGTCATTATTAGAACTTAATGATTCTTAAACGCACCTTTTTGTTATTTTCCCCTTGTGATGATTTTGATAACATGATATTTTCAGTTTTTCACATTTTATTTTAGTGAGAAATCACGCTTATTTATCAGGCTTTTTGCTTTAAAAACCAAAGTTGTACATTTGGGAAGAGACACAGGTTTCTTAACATATAAAAAGAAAAATATAGTTATATCTCTGTAATATATAAATAAACATCTTTCTTAATTAATATTTATTTGAATAATAAACTTATAGAATATGTGTATGAAAAAAACGTCTGTAAGAAAATTTTGGAAAAATTTAGCTGTGTTAAAAATTATAAATATTTATTCATTTTATTTCAAAAAATAACTGTTCATATATTATCTTTTTGAGAATGCCTTTTTATGTTTCAGAACCCTTACTCGGAGCTGTTGTCACCAGAAACGGAAAATGTTTACCGATTTGTCCTCACGGGAACTTACAAGGTTAGTATATCCATTTACTGCAATTCGAAACAGGAGAATTTCGTATGCATTGATATAAAATACACAAATGTAATGCTTCAAGTGATACAGTACAAGTAAATGTTTATTTTGGTAACTCACAAATTCGAATTTCAGGTGAAAGGACTGGAATTAAAAACTGTTACTATTATAACTTGTATTTATTTTAATTAACAACCTAAAAAATCAATGCATGTATTTAAAACCCTCTGACCGGCAAGGCTTATATATATATATATATATATATATATTTGTCCTAAAATGTTTTTTTTATGATGTTTGTACAAACGTATTAATACGAGATCTGTACATAGATTTAAATGCAGTTATGTGTGAAATTTTTGTATTTCTTAAATGCAGTGTTTAATGTGTGAAATTTTTGTATGTTCAGTGTAACATGAAAATCTAGAGAGGCGAAGCTTGCCGGAAAAGTAATAATACAGAGACAAGTCTATTTAACATTGAGTAAATTGGTATCTCACTAAATTGGCGAGATATCACCAAGCTGGCAACGGTGTTGGAGATTAATTTTTGTCACCATATTTGGGGAGAAGTCGCCAAAAGTCGTCAAACTTGGCAACCATTTAGCGATATTTTGATCCTGTCCCTGGAGAACTACAAATGCATATTGTAATTGAATAACTGTAATTGAGACTCCATGTAGCTGAAACCGTAATTCGGTCCAGCTCCGCTTTGCATTTGGTCGCATATTTAACATTCTTAGTAGTTTGAAATGTAAATACTGATTGTGACTACTGATTGATACTGTGAAGAGTAGTACGACTATTTTTATGGAAATTTCCAGAACTTAATATTTATTCTTCTCTTCTAATTCGCTTTTCCCAGAGTTTAACTAAAACGTTATTACCATAGCTGTGTTATAGCAAAATGATTTCTTAGTATCAGCCCAACTTGATTAAACCACTTCAATGATTGAAAACATATATTAAAAAGAAACACATTTTTAAATGTATATGTGATATCTTGTATTCTTTTATTTACAGGGAAACACAGTTGCTGTCAAGAGAGTTTACAAACAAAAGAAAATAGAGCTTACTCGAGCAGTCCTTTTTGAACTCAAGAAGGTCAGAAAATTATTTAATAAATTTTGTGAATGTTCTCTAAAGGTTTCAGTTTTCATTTGGAATAAAGTACACTATTGTCTCAAAAATAACATAAAGGTACGGAATGCCAATGGAGTGAAACATTGCAACCTGATATTAACGATAGATTTGATTTATATGAGCTTGTTCTTACAAGGAAAAAATGGAATTTGGTAAATATAAAAATATAAGCTTATAATATAAATATATTCGCCATAAATTTATTTTTTATGGAAGTTGCTATTAGATGATATATTTTTATTAGTATGCGAAATATATACAGAATATCTAAGAAACCCATTTCACTTCGGGAGGCAAGATCTAAAGCGTTTGCTCAGAATTCGCGAGTTATTTAACAGAGAATAAATAATGCTTTTTGTAAATACCGTATTCTAACATCATACAGTATATTTGTAAATTCATAATTTCCGCTGCAATATCGATAGGCATCCTGTTAACAGTAATGGGGTGAAACCTCATCAGACTTAAAAATATTTTAATCGCTTTCTGTATCGAAGAACGCGTTTTTCCAACTGTTTAAACAATTTGCATTACGAACTTATCTACAAGGGCTTTCTTTTACTGATATTAATTTTTTTTTTAAATCTCAATGCAAGACAGCTATTGTTTACTTCGAAATTCATATCTAAAGGAGCATGCATTAAATACACTAGAAATTGACGTTTAAATTAGCAACTGATCTCAACTTTTCAAACAAAAGCCAACTCTTCTTTCTACCACGAATACCCATATGTTTTCTGATGAATATTACGTTTCATTTTTAATTGTGAATTTCTTTTGCTGTTTTCTTCAAAGGAAGTCAGCTACCTTTATTTGAATAATGAAAATGCTAAACGTAAAAAAAGTCACACGAACAGTTTTATCTTTCGAAGTTTCTAGTAAAGGCAGACAAATGTTTCACGTGCAGTCTTGAATGAAGCTTAAAGAATACACAAAAGAGACATTTTAAAGATAAGTCTGCGTATAAGGAAATCATTGCGTAATCTTTCAAAAATAATGGATGCTTTGCGTGCAACGAAAGTGGCATTACATTTCAGAAAGTAGTTTTTTCCCTGTTGAGGTCATTTTGTGTTCTTTTTTCCGTTTATGTAACTTCGCTGGTAAAATAAAATAAACAAAAATACTATTACAATATTTCCCTGGGTATTAGCTAGATAGTTGTTTAGAAGAAATATGCTCTAAATTCAAATAAACTTGATGGTTTTCGCTTGATAACGTTTTTCGTTTACTTTATTTGTTCCCTAAGGGTGCATTTCTGTATATCTGAGTGTTGTAATCCTGCACTTTCAACATTTCGTAATGTGAAAGAAACTGTCGTTTTTTATTGGATAATTTGTGTATTCTAACTTTCTCTGAGGAATAAAGTATTTTTACAATTTATAGAGAACGAAATGAGAACAAAATGTAGGATGTGTGCACACAAAACAGATGAAAATATTTAAGATATAAAAGAAACGACATAAATGAATAATTTTAGGGTATGCAGATTCATAAAACTGCATCTGAAGGAAATTAACAAATTTCGTTGGCCCTGTGCATAATTTCTAGCGTTGAAGTGCTGTAAATATTTCCTGTTTTAATAAAATTAAGTTTTTATCAGTTCTTGCTTTTAAGATATACAATTAGACTAGGAAACAATTCAAACTAACGTACGTTTTGCATAAAATTGTATAGATTTCAGCAGCAGCTAACGTAGAACTCTTTCCCCCAATGGGTTCGAAGACAAGATCCAAATAAATAGGGAAATAAATTGTCGTCACCGACGACAAATAGACATAGCACCAACTTTTCAGCCAAAACGAAATCGAAAGGAGAAATGAAAGATAAGTTAATAGAAGTTCTAAAAAGTTGGGGTTTGGTAATAACAAAAGTAGGTGAAGGTTTTGTGCATACTGAAGATTTCAATGAAACCTAATTCTCTAACTGAAGACACTTTATAGGTTTCATCAACAGATCTGATCCCATAATTGATTCAGAACATAGTATGATTAACTGTCGAAGATTTATTTATTTTTTTCTTTACGGACATAGAATTTGATAAATGAAGATATAACCTAAATATAAATGAAGATATAACCCTAAATGGTGAACATGTGGATAATATAAGCAATTTTTGTAAATTCGTAATTCCCCTTGTTTGCTTTTCAGCTTTCTTTTAGCATCTCAGTTAGATGTATTTTTATACCATCATTTTGATAATACATTTTTAGTCAATTAAATAAGTTACAGGCAAAAACATCGCATTAAGGAAGAAAACGCAGCGGAAGATAGAACGCGAGGTGAGAACATCGTCATACAAAACATCGTTGGAGAAGAGAAAGCAAGGAGAAAACATCTAAATTCTAAAATATCCTTGTCGAAAAAAAAAAGGTTAAAAAACATCGCAGTTATATTAGCCATAAAAATATGGTAGTAAAAAATAAAGCACCTGTAAATCCTCGCAGGACGATAGCATCGCAATCATGTATTTTTCGGGTTTTAAAAGCTGTAAATGTATATTCGCATAATTATTTATGAACGCAAGACAGAATGAGGAATATTTGTATAGAATGAGGAATATTGAATAAGACATAATGAGGAATATTTCATCTTTTTGGATTCATTAATTTATTTTTATTTCTAAAAATGCAAGAAGGAAAATTAAACATTCAAAAACAGAAACTGAGTAGAATTAATCTTACATATAATAGTTAATAAAATTTTAAACTTTTGTATTTAACTAATAAAAATCATTATTTAATTAATTTTCTTTATGAAGATGTACTGGCATTTCTTTATTAAAGATATGGGCTGGAAAAATTGAAAAAGTAAGATGAGTAACTGCATCTGGTTACCTATATTAAAATTGTTTAATTAATTATCAAATTTAAAATTATTTTCTTTCATTTTGTTAATCTCGTATTCTTTTTGGAAAAATTAAATCTTTTATTTCAAATAGTTAAATAATTTTTATATAGGTTATAAGGTATTTCTCCCGCCTTCCTAGCGTGCCTTCGTGTTGTAGTGGTTCTGCACGCTGGGCCGGTATTCCAGAGGTCCGTGGTTCATTGATTCCCGGCGAAGTCGGTTGCTAATTTTTCATCTCTCTGGCTTTTCCAATTAACCTAATGTCTCTACAAGGTACCTCATGCAGTTACTCATCTTTCCTTTTCTAATTTTTTAGAAATATTTTGAAAGAAAAACTTACGTTTTAAGAAAAGACATTAATTAAGCAAGGACATTTAAGTTAAATATATCAACTTAAAATGCTCTTATCTGCTACACGTAAGAATAATTTGTTACTCATTTTCAGTTTCTGAATACTTAAGTTTCCATTTATTCCTTTCACCAAACATTTATTAATTAATCCAAAAATACAAAATATAGAGGTAAAAATAATCCTTATTCCTTCTTGCGATCCCAAATCCTTATGCTAATATATACATTTACAACATTAAAATTCTGAAAAACAGATGTCTGTGGTATTATCGCCATGCGTTGATTCGTAAGTGTTTATTTTTTTACCACGGTATTTTCGACGACGGTGTTTTATGCCGCAATGTTTCCTCCTTGCTTTCTTTTCTCCTACGATGCTATGTACAACAATGATTTAGCCCTGCGTTGTTTTTTCCGCAATGGGAACAAATTTAAGTCGATATACACTTTTGTACAATTAAATCGTATTGATTGCTTTTTTCTGAGAGCAGTTTATGCATCATTGTTCCAAGCCTATCTTTTTTTACCAGTCTCAGTACATTTTATTCTCACTCTTAACGCCTAAAATATTTATAAAGGAATGAAAATTAGATTCAACTACAGTTTTCGCAGGGTAAGCCAGGGAACAAACCTCAAGAGGACGATGCTGTATTCTAATTATCGAAATTTACCTGCGCATGAAAGGAAAATATTTTCCAATCCGCTTAAGTACATATAATTATGCCATTTTCTGGAACATAGCTTTAAGCTAATGTTAACTTAAATAAACAATGAATTTGAGGGGAAAGATACATAAATGTACTTCTGCAGTCCCTCATGAATATTAAAATATGTACTGAGCTGGAAAATAGCATTTGTCATGCTTAACTTGTAAAATCTTTGGCTAAGATTGGTTTAAATAGGAAAGGTTCGGCAAGAAACGATATTAATTCCTCTTTGTGCTTTTGTTTTCTAATGAAGCTTATAAAATACAGAGGGTTGAAATTAGTAGATGGATTGTAACAGATTACTAAATTTTATGAAGATTAATAAATCCAAGAGGAAAAATCTACGTTTTAAGATGTTTTAATTTGAAGAGCATCAAGCATGATGCTTGTTTTCTTAATTATATATGCTCGTGAATCATTAAAATAAAATAATTGCTTTTTTTTCTGTTGCTCATTAATTGCTCTGGAATCCCAAACTACTTACTTCTATTAGTTTCTTGTCCTTAAAAATGTTATTTTGAACTGATCTTTAAAGTTTAATAAAAGATTCGATTTTAAATAACATTGTGTTTAACTACACATAACTACATATTCAAGAAATAAATCTGTTTCAATATAAAGTAAGCTGTTTAAAATATCATGTATTTCAACAAAGAGTACGCAGTTTTGCATGACAGTAAAAGTCAAATAGCAACAGATGATTAATCCTTTTTTTAATACTATGCAATTTTAGAACAACATTTGGAGTTTCAAAATAGAGAAAGTTAACATCACTATCACTATTGATCGTACCTCCTCATGCAAGCTTACAAAATTACTTAAGAACAGTAACTTCAGTAATTTTGTAAGTTTGTATGCATATGTGCTTCAGTTACACTCCACAAACACTGATGGGTACAAATGGTGCCACAAATCGCCTTTTCCAAAGTTAATGGTGGGAAAAAATGTATTAAATCAAAACATAGAGCTGGCTTGTTCCTCTTCTTTGAAAGTAATTAATTTCAAACGATAAAACGTTTCACGATTGAAATCTTGATATAACCCATTACGTGTAAAGTTCTTTTTAGCTAGAACATTATTTTTGCATTAAGGTTTACTTGCATTTTTTGTTCCTTTCTTCGGTTATCATCTAAATAAAAGTAGAGTTGACATATTCTGAGTGAATTCGTAATTTAAAGAGAGAGAGCTGTGGCAACCCTTCAGAACATTGTTTATCACCGAAACATTCATTTTCGTTAATTATTGTATACGTATTAACTTGCAGAGGTAGAGGTTACGGCAACTTGAAATATGGTTAGTGTGGTGTTGAAAATTATATACTGTATTCTACAATTTGATGTAAATTTGTGTAATTAAAGTCAATGAGCTGCATTTCTGATTTTATGTATTTACTTGTTTCATTTACTCGTTTTTTAGAGGGATAATTTTGGAGTTTATTGAATTTGAGGTCACTTGTATAGTTTATAATTTTTTATTTCATATGTAGAATTGGTACATCTTTAATTTTTGAATCAACAAAATTTAAGCTACAAAAAATAGCTCGAGGAGAACGCGAGATATGGGTGCTCCTGATGAAGCTTGAGTGATAATGTTATTATTCAGAATGGTAAAATTTGACGATTTTTAACCACTCTGGCGACTTTCTGAAAGACCTGAAGAAATGCACTTTTGAAGCCCTATGTTCTGTAGCTTTTCAAAAGCTGCCAGAAGCTGGTGCTACATGATATAAATATGGCATCAAGGGACATGATGAGGCTGAGCGGTTCAGAGACAGTTAGCTGAACTGTGTTTTAGAATTTACTCTGTGCGTGGAATTGTGCCATTTCTCGTGCGATAAAGAATACCTGCTTAACATCTATATTCTCCTTGAGCTTTTATGGCTAATTGGATGTGTGTCATTAATATTTCTAGTAAATCGTACTTTTTTCCACCTCACTTGGATTTGTTACTGAATGAAACAGCCACAAATCCACAGTTCGAAGAATATTTAATAATTTGAATTTTCAAGACATCGCTAAGTAGCGGTGACTACATTTTTATTTAAATTATAACACGATTTAGCTTGTAGTATAAATAGTACTTTAAGTTATAGTACAAATATCGTTTATTCAATCTTAGTTAGTTAAATCGTAGTTCTTGTCTGTGTTATCGGGGATATTTTCTGTTGCTGTTACGTATGAAAACAAGAATTTGCCTAATGCCAGGAAGTTAAATATGCTTCAATAGTTAATTATGATTAATTTTATGCATATTACCGCACGCACTATCTCTCTTCTTTAAATACCTATGTTTAATCTCTTTGCAAATAATTTCGCTAATCGTATGACTGTTATTGATTCGACACAATAATATTTGGTTAGGCTTTTGTAAGTGGGAACATTGGCTTCTAGTTGCAGGTATGTTAATTATCGGTAAGTATTGGGTCGGTGCATATGCTCGTGCTGTTCTTCAATGGGTTGGCAACACTGCACTGTGAAGCCTTTTCAGTTTTTCGTTATTTATTTGTTTTTCTTCAGTTTGGAGCTTGATTTTCGTTGCTGATGTTGTTACTAATCTCGCTTGTCTGAATTAGAGCAAGACCGCGAAATTATTACGGCAAGGAGTCAAGATTGCGCCTGTCGTTGTCAAGAGTATTAGGCACCATACAGGTCACAATAGGACATAGTTCAGTTCCGCCCCCAATTTTGAAGATGAGCACATCGGTTTCTAGGGTCTCCTACCCCCTCTTCCCCTACCACTAACCTCTTCAGAGAACTTTGGACTCGCCGCATATTTTTTGTGGCAATAACGGTGGAGACAACTTCACTGCCAAGCATCAGAGTACAGCTCCCGACTCTGCTCGGTCGTTCTCGGAATCCACGTAATCTCGAGATTCTCCACGCTACAACTCGCGATGCACTCGACGGCACACAGAGCACGGTTCCCGACTCTTTTGTTCAGTCGTTCCCAGAGCTCAACACGCTCTCTCGACGATGACTAATCGCGATATACTAAGAGACTCCTTCGGTGAACTCGACGACCCACTCAGCGCTCGCTGGCCGGCTGTTAACGCGATCGTCTCTGCACGGACTAACTAGATGAGACACACTACTTGATACTAACTATCTCGCCCTCCAGACCAGGCACTCTGACGCCGCCAATTTTGTCGCCAAATGGGCGATCTCTCGACAAATGTGGCAACTTTGCCGTCCCTTGCCCTTTTATAGCAACCCTAAAACTGCTATGCAAGGAAGCCATCTTACCGCGCCTGTACATTTCGTAACAATATATTAAGATATCCAAAAGTCGCGCTTGTTGAATTTTCAAAAGTTGAGGAAATTCCAGAATGGATATTAAAGCATGTTGCTTCGACAGGTGACATCCTTACACAAGTAATATATCACTGGCATTTCATTTGCAGTTTATGCTGTTAACTTTGAAAATTATTTGTTTCATGAAAGATGGAGATGAATTTTCCCCAAGCAGAACGAATTTTTATGATTGAGTGTTATTTAGGAAAACTTGAAGTATTTTAAGAGATTTCCTCAATTTTGTGAAACTCACACACACACACACAAAAAAAAAAAAAAAAAAAAAAAAAAAAAAAAAAAAAAAAAATATTTGTGCCTTGTTAATCTGACTTTGAAAAACTGAAATCGTTCACCATACGAAATGAGAAATCAAGAAAAGAATAAAATGTTTAATCACATAAAAAGTATCATGGATAGCAAGCCAAACTCACTAGAAGGAACAACATTGCAATCAAATTTATACGTTACTAAATAATGCTCAAGCATAAAAATTTATTATTTTTGAGAAACACTCATCTCCATTTCGCACTAAAAAAAGGGTTTTGAAGCTAACAGCATATACTAATACTAAAACTTCAAATGATATATTACTTGTAGTACAGGAAAGATCTCTATTGAAACAGTTTGTCATTAATATCCATTTTCGAATTTTTACTATTTTTGAAAATTTGATGCTTGTGACTTTTGACTTTTTAAATCACCCTATTGTTTCTTTATGCTCGTGTATAATAAATGACTTTTTTGAAATTTTACATTTCATTACCGCATTTGGAATTGTAGTATATTTTATTACAGATTCGTGAAGCACAGCACGAGAATATTGCTAATTTTATTGGAGCTTGTATTGATGCACCGAATGTTGCCATATTGACGGAATATTGCCCCAAGGGCAGCCTTCAGGTAAAAATACATTTATACTTAAAATAACATTATAGCAGTTTCTTTGTTTTAGCTAATATATTTTCTTTATGTATTTTCTCAAGGGATGTTAAACTATTTGCTTAATCACGATGACACAAAATGATATCTCATGATAGCACATCAACTCAAATTCAAACATTTATAAAAATCCTATTTTTAGTCTAAAAATTGAAATTTTTACGTCTGAAAATAATAAAGTACGAAAGGTTCACAGATAGTACATCGTAGGGTTGAAATTATGTAATCTGCATTTTGTAATTGGCGAATATTACATTGAGAAGTAACAGAGGTCTCACAGAACATATTTTCTCAAGATTTTCTTAGTGCTCATGCCTTCAGTAATCTTTCATTTTGGAACTGAGCCTAAGACACATGCACTTGATTTAAAAACAGGAATTTGTTAATATTTTCAGGGGTCCTACTGGTATATCAGTATACAGAGACTACTACTTATTTTGGGCATTAAAAGCGTTTTAGACAGGAATTTGATAATAGTTTCAGTAATGCTGGAACTAAAAATGCAGAAACTACTAGAATCTCTGGACCAGAAGCATGTTTTGGAATTGTAATTTGGCAATATTTTCAATAATGCAGGAGACCAGAAGGGATTTTTAGGGCTGAAAACATTCTTTAAACAGGACTTTGATAATACTTTCTACAACGCTAGAGAATGCATATTAGCTTTTTCGGACAGAAAACTTGCTTTAAACAAGAATTTGACAATACTTTCAGTAAAGCTTTAGTTTAGTATGTGGAAACTGCTGAGATTTTTCAGACAGGGTACATGGACAATCATTAATGCCGTGAGAATGAATGGTTTTTTAGCTGGAATTCGCATGAACGGTCTTTGAATTGTTTGTTGAACGAGCTAACCCCTAATACTAGGTAATTCCTTACGTTCTCCCCTATAGAGTGAATTGGGACATGCACGATGTCTAGTCGATTAATTTAGGCTGTGAAGAATTATTACTTACAACATGTTAGTTACGGTGCCATTGCAGAAAACATTAGGCTTTTCGAAGCTAGGAAACATATAAAATCATATGTGTTTTTATTGGGATCTAAATAACGGAGCTTTAACTTCACGTGCAAACTACTTATACCCTTATAGCGTCTATGGGAATATATGACAATCCCTTACATTTCCCGACATTTAAGGGCGAGAGAAGAGAGACACGAGACCCATTCGACTAAATTCAGGTGGTGATAAATTGTCATTTGGCATATTTTACGTCCAGCATATCGCACCAAGAAATAAGAAAACTCAACTGTATTCTGACCAGATTTCGAATCCTATGTTTTCGAGCTATATAGTTATAAGTTGTATAATGTGCACAATTACTACTCTGCAATATGTTTGTTGAGTTTAGGAATTTTTATTAATGTATTATATGTACTAATACAAGTATATTAAATACACTTTTAATGTATAATGTATAACGATATATTACTATTGTGGTAATTTAACATAGCACCACTTTCTTGAAGTTTATTTAATGCTATGTTTTAAATGTATAACGTGCTTTAAGATGTAAAACGTACAATTACTAGGAGTAACACCCCTTTTTGATGTAAGGTATTTATATTGTATTATATTGTATAATAAGTATTCGTATTGTAAGAATCAGCAATACGTTTGTCTTCCAACACCAGCCCCTATTTGGCAATGCTTTTCCGGACAGTTACGGGATCCGGACAACACCCGAATAGTCAGTGAAAGCCGCCCGGTTTTCCGGACGCTGCTCTCACCTATCACATGCCAAGAACGTGCTTAACATTTACATCATAAAAGGACGCAAGAGAGAATGAAATCCTTCCTTACAAATATCTACCTCTTTTCTTAAATATATTAACTATTATAGTTCGGAGCTGTAGTATAGATTAGAAATTCGACTCAATAAAGAATAGATTAGAAATTCGAAATAGAAATTCAATAGAAGAATAATTCGACTCAATAAAGAATAGATTAGAAATTCGACTCAATAAAGAATAGATTAGAAATTCGACTCAATAAAGAATAGATTAGAAATTCGACTCAATAAAGAATAGATTAGAAATTCGACTCAATAAAGAATAGATTAGAAATTCGACTCAATAAAGAATAGATTAGAAATTCGACTCAATAAAGAATAGATTAGAAATTCGACTCAATAAAGACCGGCGAACGGGTTGGCCGAGCAGGCGTTTTCTTGCTTTTCCATATGTTTGCCATGTTGCTTCCTTATAATATGTCTTTGTTTACATGAATCCAAATCCTGATTCTGAAAGAAATTCTATTTGCATTCTCTGCAGCGGGGGGAGGAGAGATGTATTTTACATTTTCGTCTCTATATGTGCAAACCAGTCGTTCCTTTTTTCTACTTTACTTCTTCACATGTCATTTGCAAATTATTTGTTCAGAGCGTAAGTGTATTTCAAAGCTAATTGCCGACTCATGTTAACAGTCTGAAGAGTTACAGCTCAGCCTTAGCCTTTCAAATAAATAATTACGAACTCAGAAGGTTTAAAAATAATCCATTTTATTAAATTTTCAACTTATCATACTATACAGCTGTAGTTTTTCTGAAACTTAACAAAACAGAAGAACTAAAGTAAAACATAAGCAAATAAATCATGCAAAATCTTACTGTAAGCTTTGGCTCAGACCCTGTAATCACGAGAGCAAACACGACTAGCCAGATGCTAAGGACGTTTCAAATAAATATAAGATCGCGGCATAAACAGCAAGGAGAAATTCGGCGGTCGCTGCCCAGAAGTTCACCCTTAGCTTCAAGAGCTCCATTCTTATCTACGTTAACTAATTTACTTCCTAGTGGGGACCGACGAAAGTAAAAATGACTCTAAAGATAAAAGCAATAAAATAATAGGTTAATAAACACAAAAATCTTACAAATTTTAAATTATAAAGTAGAATTGTTTATTAATTCTGTGTATTGTAAAGTAAAAATTTGGTATATTTATAGTAAACTTAAAAATTCAATTGTATTATTAATTTTTTAATTAACAAAAGAATGAATCTAAATTCCACTTACTTTTAGGATGTTTTGAAAAACGACTCACTCGACTTAGACTGGATGTTTCGGTATTCCTTGATTAACGATATAGTTAAGGTAAGTTTCTGTTTTATTATTTCTCATTTATTACATCTGAGTATACAGATATGGTTTATTATGTTGAAGACTTAACCATCATTATTTCTCAATTAAATACTAAGCTTGTTTTCAGAATAATATGGTTACAACGTGAAATGTTACACATACATTATGTTTTCACTGAGTTACACATTTTAAGATATTTTTAAAATATATTTAAATTTCGCGTATTATTATTATATAAAAAATTTATTACCATATTTGTAATAATTAATTATAAATCCATAGTTCTAATTTACGAAATAAATTAAATATTTAAATAAAGCAGTTTGGATCATATGACAAAACTATTTAAGCAAATTATTCAGATTTAAATTTTACATGTATCTTCTGGGAAAATATTGAATTTAGTAGTTATTTTTCCTATTATGCTAACACAGGAATTGCGTAAAGTTTCCAATTGATGCAAATCTTGCTTCCTTAAATTAGATTCTTACTATCTTTAAAGCTCAACATGTTTATACATTCTGGTTGAAGTAAACGTAATTGTAAGAATACGGAACAGATTTTAATACAAACAAAAACATGCTAATAGAATTACCTTTAGAAGTATTTTACATAAGGTACCTTTTAGAAAAGTGTGCTTGAAAACGTACTTTCGTAGATGGACTATAAAGTACTAATTAGTTATGAATTACTGACTGCCTTTCAGTGACTAATAGTGAATAATCGAAACGAACCAGTTTGAATTACACAATACAGTAACTCAGTCACTTTATTTAAAATTCAAAGCAGTTCAGTACAGCTTCGTTTAGTGTTGCATACAATATTCACTCTCTCGAAATAAGTTCTGCATTTCGGCGTTTAATTATTTTATGCAGTTCATTGTTTATATTCAACGGTTCTGCATAATCTGCTGCTTAAGCAAGCTCTTATACAAATTACCCACTTAAGAAAACTCTGAGATATTATACGCATTGATTTCTTATTCAGTTCGATCCCTTGATACAGTGGTGCTAACATACTTTTCATATGGAGGTATGAAAAAGACCATGTCTACCAGCGTGGCATAATCTTTTATCAAACACCGAATTTATATAACGTATAATGAGGTCATTAGGAGGATATATATATTGTTGGGAAATGTTGGTGAATACGTCGTGAGAGTTTAAAAACAGAGTGGAACAATATACGCGACATAAAAAGATTAATTTGTTTAATTAGTATTTTTAAAGATTTAACACGGTTACAAAAGTTACTTGAATTGTTATAAAATGTGATATTAATGTAAATGAATACATATTTTTTATCTGCCATACATTTCGTCACTGAAAACGACTTGATAATTTTTACCACTCTAAATTTACCTAGAGTCTCCAGAACTTACTATCTTTAAAGTTATATATTTGGGTAATTTTGATCGAATAATATTTATATTTATATATATTTTGGGGTAATTTTGATATATATAATATTTTTAATATAATTTTGGTAATAATAATATATTATATATATATATATATAATTTTTATAATTATATATATAATTCTAAAAATTTATAATATATATTTATATTATTATAATTTTGGGTAATTTTGATCGAATGAAGATAGTTTCTTTGTTTAGTTTGATAACGTGTTTTAAGAAGATCTTAAAAAGTTTTCATAGATCGTATATTTTTACTATAATGCTTCTCGATAATTTCACCTGGATGGTTGCTTTATTTGGTTCATTTCGCATACTGATACCACAGCTCTGTAAATACATGTCGAGTTAAACAAATGATCATATATCTATAGAATGTATGTACGTATCTATAGGGAGCTGTATACTTCGATCGTGTGTGCATAGACACTGTATCAACTAAAATGGCATTCATAAACATGTCGATTGTTACAAAATGTAATAAACATTACATGATATAGTTAGTAAAATATATACTATATTAATATTTTAGGTAAATGTAATCAAATGAAGCTACTCCAGAAATTATTTACATATGTAAAACACTTACAGGGGCTGAATTATATACACAGCGGAGAGATGGGAACACATGGGAGACTCAGGTCATCCAACTGCTTGGTCGACAGCCATTTTGTTGTAAAGCTGACTGACTTCGGGTTGCCATCATTCCGTGATATCGAGTCACTGGATTGTGCTGAAGATAAAGACCTGAAAAGTATAAAATATTTTGATTTAATTAAGATGAAATTCTTTTATAATTATTCAACTTTTCCATAAGCAAAGAAATATGAAAACATTTAATTCTGATTGCAATTTCTTGGAATTCTGTCCGTCTTTATCGAAGCTTTATTTTTATTATTGATAACCCATACTATACAACCTGGAGTGCTTTGCATGAAGTTGATGTGTTTGATCGGAACTAAAGAGGTGAGATCGAAACGCATTTATTAATACATCTAAGAAGAGGAAAGTAAAATCAGTACTTAGAAGCTACCATAAAGAAAAATTCTGGAAACTGAAAAGTGTCAGTTATGGATTATTTTTACCTTCAAATTATCAAAATTTTATCAAACGGTTGCTGGCAGTAGTAATAACAATAAAGTTTTGATAAAGTCAATTCATTGCTTTTCAACGAAATTATAATAAGATTAAATTTTAAGATTTTATTAATATTAACTCTTATGTCGTATTTGACTTATATACTATTGTAACAGTATCGTATGCTTTTTGTGATAATTTGATTATTGCATGGATAAAAAACGAAACTTATTGTGATATAATAAAAATTATACGAGGTGATAATTCTGTAATACCTTTCAATGCAGTTTCCACCTCTAATAGGATCACATTTCTTCTAACTTATTTGATTGCATTAATTATATAATCGTAATAAGAGGAAATCCCGTTCATATGTTTGGAAAGTTCGAATTATCATATCCTTCACATGGTAAAGTACATAATTGAGTTTCTATTAACGACACTAAGTACGCAAATACAGTTTAATAGTTTTATTGCTTGGAATTTAAAAAGTAAATCAAAAACACACTCATCTTAGCACACATTAATGGCTTACAAAGAATTGCTTAAGGTGAATTAGCATTATGTACTTTTTTAAAAGAATTGCTGTTTTTAGAATTTGGTCTTCTTTGATAGCATAAACGAGCATCAGACAGCTAACAGACTTGGAAATGGTCTTATCACTGTGTCTGAAGTAACACGTGAGTCTTGAAAAGACTTAAAACAACCTTTTTATTAAATTAGGACTTGAACATGAATACACGTCTCATGTTTACAAATCAACCACCATTTGTAGCGATATAACTTAAAGTAACAAAGTCGAAGACTCTATAGCTGATTTAAAGCGAAGTTGGCTCAAAACTTCTCACCGGCGTAACAATTTAAATGGTGGAAGCCATAACGTAAATCCGAAGAATTGCAATCTTATCAGGGCTATCGAAGTCTAGTAACGGGGCCTCAAGAGGTAGAAACACACTCTGTCTTACATTCCAAAACCCCCGACTTAAGTACTTTCTAAACTGATTTGCATTCTGGTGAGGAAACGGATAGGAGAAGTGATAGTCCTTCCATGAATCTGAACAGTGATTCATCATTCGGTGGCTTTTGGTGCTTTAAAGTAATCTTCCTCAGAATTCGTATCATTATGAGCATTATCGGACTCTCCATCCTTACTTTTTCAAGCGTACCAATGATGGTTTAGGATGACCCATTATTAGACTATATGGAAGAATGCAGATATTCTAAAACAATTTTTATCATTTGTATATTGACAACGTTCCGGAAACATTAACTAGATTTGTGTTTCATTACAACTTGTGCACTCTAAAATTAGTTTCAGCATATATGAAAAGTTATTATTTAATAAGAAGGTTTTCATAGATGAGATGAAATTACATTAAATGGGATTTAACTTTATAAAATATCCCTCATCCCTAACTCTAAAACTCAAGTCTTAATCTATAGCATTTAGTAAAATAATACATCATTTTGAAAACTTCACCCATTTGTATGAGCAGAGGAAACTCTCGAATGTTATGTTCGTACTTATACAGCGGTTTTCCACAGCTACCATTACCAGAAAGAATGTATCTGAGGGGCAAAGGACGTGTACAGGTAACGTTCGAGAGAGTTAAAACTAAAAACGTGTATCTCTCTTTCCGTTTCCTGGTTCTGAGTCTTGTTTCAAATTATTAGAGAGTTTTGGATCCCCTCTGCTTTATAACTCGTGTAATGTTTTCCAATATCTTATTCCGGCAGCTGAACCACAGTTCAGTTCAGAGGTACAAGGAGCATCAGACATTGCAATTGTTTGTTTGGTAGTTGTCCTAAATTTTAAAGTAATGAAATCACAAGATGGAAAGTTTCTTAGATGGACAATTTTCACATCCACAGGAAATTATTTGTTGAAACGGTCATTTGAAATGAACCTTCTTTACAGATCAACACTGTGTCTCGGAAGCAGAGGGAAATGTGGCTACCACTCCCGTTGGGTTTGCTATTTTGTAAAACATGGCAAGTCTGTCTACATAAGAAGGGCTGTCTTTATGTAGGTCTTTTTAAGGAAATTTAGCTCATATTCAGCTGCGGGTCACATTAGAAAAAACAATAGCTACACTTTTGCAGCATAATTTTAACATAGATATATTTAAAATAAAAATTATGTCATTCAAATTTTTAAATTTAATTTGTAATAGTCACACTTATTTTTAATTTTTAATTTAGCTGTATCTCGTAAAAATAATAACTGCTTATAATAAATATTTCTGAGCTGCGTCATTTCAAAATTCATCCATGTCATGTAATTCTTAAATAAAACTAATGACGCATAATCTTACGCTTTAGTGAATAAGATTTCATTTTGGAAACTAAAAACTTTTAACAGCCAATACCGAAACTTTTAAGCCAATGGAAAAATTCGGAACTGTAATTCAAACCACTCTAAATCCAACTTTCATGGTAAACACGTAGCATTCGTAGGTTATTACTCTTTCATCAATCTTGTAGTTGAAAGATGTCAAAAAAACAAAAAAGGTGATCAAGAACGGCCGTGTATAATGTGTGTGTGTATAATGGCCGTGTATAATGTGCCGCGTATAATCCATCCTTTCTGATTCATAATTCACACTGAGAATGCGCTTATCAAGTGTGAAATAAAATGTTTTAAGTCGCCGCGACTGCTAGCATCTTTTTCGCACGATACAATCTCTCCGCAATCCACTATGTTACGACATCAATTTCTACATCATTAACTAGTATGTACAGAGATATAGCACACTACAATGGGATTTGTATTATTAACTTAATCTTCAAAATATACTATGCCTATAATGCTGTCAAAATATGCACCTTTTCACGTTGCTTTATTGTAAACCTCGAATCGCATCGAACGACACTAAGAATTTCTGTAACTGTTGATATAAGTGAACAATTACAGTCAGGCAAAAAACGAATTAGAAATCGGGTCAGACCATCGTTGAAAAAAGTCTATATCTTAGTGTAAAGTATTTATCTATTTCCATGGGTATACAATTTGCATTTGCTCTATGGCACACGTACTTAATGAATTCGGTTTTAGGGTAATTTTTGTATGTTTTCATGCGCATTTAAATTCGAGTATGATTGAGCTAGAAGACAAAAAAGTTAGGTTACATTCGAACAAACTCATTTTTCATTAAACGCATTTTAATTGAATATAAATTAAATAAGAAAAGCTTTCAACACTTAGCTTTACACACTTTCTCTTAGCTTGACAAAACTTCATAAACAGCTCATACGTCTTTGCAATGTGCATAACTGATGACTCCGTTGCAAAGGATGGAAGGCTAGATATCCAAGGTTCAGTTTTACCGTTAAAATCAATTAATCATTCGTTTTCAGTATATTCTCGAAGTATTCTTTTCTTCACACTTTGTACAATATCTTATTTAAAAGAAAGAATGTAATAAAATACTTTTAATTTAATTATAATTAAATGTTTAATATTGTATTATAACATGTTTTCTTATTTGAAGTTATTAAGACATTCCTCAGCTTATCAAAGGATAATTTACTTCTTCAGAATTCCTTTGGAAAGCGCCAGAACTTCTCAGATTGCCAGTATGTCCACCGGAGGGAACACCTAAGGGTGATGTCTACAGTTTCGGAATTATTCTCCAGGAAATTATTCTTCGAGAAGAACCGTTCTATCCCTTCCGAGGATCTTTGAGTGTGGCTGGTGAGACAATACGGTAGTTTTATCATCGTGTACCTTTATTGTATCTAAATATATTGCTCGCCATTCTTCAGTGATAATTACAAAATAATTGTGAAAAGGTGGGAACATGCTAAAAGTCATAGTAACATAAAATGTCATAAAGAAAAAGTGTTTAAAAACGAAACTGTAATTATATTCCAGTCTAAAACCATACATGTCTTCAGATTCCATCCTTTGATGCTAAAGGCCATTGTTGGACTGTATATAATTTGATTTTCTAGCTATGTTTTCCTTGAAGTCTATGTCACGCGTGAAGAGGTATTTAACGTGCAATGCAATGCACATGCACACGAGACATATACTTATCAACAATGGATGGAAGCAATGTTTGAACGGGTATTGTCAACAACGTTTTGAGTGTACCATATGACTGCCAAGCATGATTTGGTGAAATTTTCAGGTATTGCAGGTCATCGCCAGAGTTTCTAAAAACTATTTTGAAGCTACTTATTGTAGGATTAGTATTTAACACAAGAATGGTTAGAGAAATTTCAAGAACATACATTGTCAGGGATAATGGAGAAGCTGATGTAGCTTATCCCATGGCCAACAAGATCTCCTGCTTCGACCTATATCTATTCCTTTTCTGAGCCCACATGGCTCAGATGCTATTAGACATGCAATAATATTGTAGGTTGAACAATTATTTTAATGTTTTCAAATTAGCTGAATAAAAATGCTCTTGAGAACTTATGTTTTTCCTTCCTATATAGGGTGTCCGGAGGAAACAAATTAAGGAAAAAAAAAGAGCTATTCGAATTAATGTGCTTATTATTACGGGATAACATACATAGCTAGGAAAAAACTCATAAAACTTTAGTACACTTGTACCCGCCGCTATTTGTAAATCGGGCTACGTCAAGACGATACTGTATCTCATTCTGCACGTTCGGAAGCATCACTAGTGTGACTTTAAAATGAGTTCCCCTTCCTCACTGCATGCTTTCGTGGTAGAAGTTGTAGTACACTCGCCTAGCATCAGAAGATTGGCGTTTCGAATTATTAACGAAGGTATAGCTGATTTTCTAATGCTTCTTCCTCTGATAAGTACCTAATATCTTTACAACCTAGTTCTATTGTTTCCATAAGACAAAACGTGACTGGGATATTTAATTTCAAAATTTGCGTAATTTTGAACTTAACTTGAGAGATTGTTTAAGTACGTTAGAACTGATTGAGGAAAGTTGAAATAAAGCGAAACAAAAATCGTGTAAAATTTAATAAGCCGTAGAAGAAAATCATGTGATGTCGACATCAAATTTCATCAAAACGGGAATAAAAGTTTCCTAAATATAACTTTAGGAACCAGGAGGTCGTGTTAAAATTAAGGTTTCGTTATTTGTCCAAAATTATTTTTTTCTAAATATGAAATGGCCCAAACATGAGTATTATATTATATATCATATTTGATATATATGTTACAGTGAAAGACCGAAATCTGGAGAATGTCGACTTTCACCAGTGAATGTCAAAATTCACATAGTCTCTTGGTGTATGTTCGAAATATTTTCCAAATACTCTTATTTCTGACTTACACCGGTCAATGTTGACATTTACCATGTACTAATGGTGAATCTTGAACATATAACAATATTATATTTTTTTCTCCGTAATTCAGTCGCGAATAAACGCACTTGAAACTTGAAATAGGAACTTAAGAACATGAGAACCTAAAACACACAATACATTCAAAATGAGAAAGGAAAATAATAAACTTACTTAATTATACAGTATGTTCTAAATGAGAAAATAAAATAACAGTAATAAAAAACTTACTAAATTATGTGATTCAAATCTTATTTATTGCAACAACTTAAACTATTATGGCACTTTATGGCCTCTCTTTTCGACTTACACCAGAGCATATCTGCGGTGAATGTTGACATAAACCGGTGAGGGTCCGAATATACAAGAATGTAGTGCAATATTCGATCTTTCACCAACGTATTTGGTGATGTTAACATTCTCCGGTGAAAGTCGACATTCTCCAATTTCGGTCTTTCACGGTATATATATCAAAAAAGTAAATTAATAGTTTAGTAAAAGTAGTTTAAATGATTCTAGGAAAATTCTAAGGTTGTATTAAATGAAACCTATTACATTTTAAAAACGGGAAGCAAAAGTTAAGATGATTCATATTTAAAAAAAAAAATTATTTCTTTAAAGTGTACTTCTCATCATATTAATGTTTTACAATACATCTTAGATTATTCATATTTTCATGCTCCAGACCGACTTGTCAAGAGTTTAAAGAAAGTGTTGTTCTACGGTTAATTGCTTTCGAGGTATTACGTATACATACATACGTACGTGCAAATGTCATAACAAATCCATTTTACATCGATTTTGCATCCAATTTGTGATCCGTTTTGAAATAAAGAGTCCTTTACATGTCCGTACGTCACGCAAAACAATAGTCAGAATGGATTCGGGAACGGTCAAAATAGATATTTCAATTATAATTTTGTAACCGAAACTTTTCGCGATTGCAGTACTTCTTTTCTTTTGACAAAAAAGTAAAAAAAAACCACGAAAATTTTAATTTTTAATATTCTTACCCCTAACAACATTACCTGATTGCCAGGCAAAAATGCCATAGGGCGACGTAAAGACTGCCAGGATGGTCGGACTGCGTCCCTCATATCATATCATATCTGATTGCCAGGCAAAAATGCCATAGGGCGACGTAAAGACTGCCAGGATGGTCGGACTGCGTCCCTCATATCATATCATATCATATCTGATTGCCAGGTAATTTGTATATTGACGCTGTTATCATTTAGACTCATATTAGAGCAATAAATTCTAAGCTTACTAATTTCTCACAGATGTAAGACTATACTATGGGTATTATGATAAAATGCTTTGAATTAAGTGTTCGTCTAATTTTTCTCTAGAAATCTTGACTCGCATACGTATCAGAGAATGCCCTCCATTTCGTCCAGTCGTACCTAAAGACACTTGTGCAACAGGAGTGATGTCTCTTATGCAAAGCTGCTGGGCTGAGGATCCAGAGGACAGGCCAGATCTCGGACAGATTAAAGCAGAAATGAGGATACTTAACAGGTATACAATTTTAGCTAACTTTAGGTAAGGGCAGGTATAACGTTAATGCAATGAATTAGTTTATTAAGGCGATTATTTTATGATGATCTACTGAAATGTTTTTAAAGTAGAAAAACATATTATAATTTTCTAATATTATTATAATAGAATCTATGATCTAAAATTTTACTATCTTAGTTAGAGGTAGGAACAACAAACTGCCATTTCTGTAATTATAGTTTCTCGTCTCATTCTTAGGTAAGTGAAAACTATAATTTTGACTTGCCTAAGACGAGATGGTTGTACAGGGTGATTCAAACCTAGAGAAAGAACATCTAGGAGAGGTAGGGTACACCTAGACGACTCGGAATCACATAAAAATACAGGGTTGGAAATGCAATCCTAAGAAGATAGGGCTGAATGGTTGGAACTTTGAGCTCTTCTTGGGAAACTAATAGTATACATGTATTTCAAACTATCACTAAATAAACTGTCCCCCTCACATTATTGGCTTGTTATTTCTGCATCTTTATTTATCCTTCAGTTGATCAAAGGTAGTAGAAAAAAATTGTTGGAGCTCATCGTGACCGCTAACTTACATTTAAAGACCATAAAAATAATTCCTGACATTCCTGCATTGCAGTATGATTCGGGAATCGTTTAGGTGTAACCTACTCTTCCTAGAATCGAATCCCGCGAACGGGCTGGCTGCATGGGCGTTTTCGTGGTTTTCCCATGTGTAACGTGTATACGAGCCAGTTTCCCTTGGAAAGTCCTCCACGAAGGCATCCCTCCCTTCACGCGAGATAGCCCTCGTGTGCTTTGCCATAATTGAATAATCCAATCCAATCCTAATATGAAAGCTTCTGCTATTATTTCTTTTATGTTTGATGGTCATTAAATTATGTACTCTCTTTCCTTTGGCACTGTATTTAAATTTTAATGCTATAGCATACTATTTATACGTAATTTATGGTTTTGGAGCAGAAAGCTATTTAATTAAAAAAATATGTAAAGTTTTGAAAATTCCTTGAATAGATTTTTTATAAGTTTCCTATTTCTTTAAGATAGTTTTTCAAAATGTATTTGAAGCCAGAAGATTTAGAATATTTATAAACGCTTAAATACTGAACATATGAACTACATCAAAGTTTTAATAATCATCAAACTATTTATCTCAATGCTGTGCAAAGAAATAAACTTGGTATTATATAACTGTTTCTAAGTATTTAAAGTTAAAAAATACACTGCATGGTCTTCCATAATATATTCTATATATTATGGAAATATTATTCTATAAATGTCTCTTTAGACACATATTTTCTTAAAATATTGTCCTAATCTAATAATTGAAATAATATTACGTAAATAAGTCTTTAGATATAAAATATTATTATTATAATGTGAAAAGAAATTATATTTTTCCATTATTTTCAGTTCATCATATCAGTGTTCAGTCTTTCTAATTAAAATGATCTACACAATTCTTTTTGTCTTTCTAATTGTATTTATTAAACATCAGTTTCTTCCACTTATGCCTCATAAAATTCAACAGTAAAAAGAAGCCGTATATCTTTAGAACTCCTGCTAAAGTATCAAGTGTCGCCATGCATTTTTTATATTTGCTATATTATTTTTCTAAAAATGATACACAGCGATAACAGAATAATAATTGCGTAATATTATAGAATAATCAATTAATGATGAATCATTCCTCTTTTAATATAATTTTCAGATTTATTTTTAATACAAAATACATAAGAGGTATTTAAGTAATTTTACGTTAAATTTAAAATTCTGTATATTTTTGGTAAAAAAATAACTAATAGACACAGAGTGATGCAATTTTAGACTATCTAAAATAATCTTCAGTTTCAGCAATCCACTATCCATAGGTTCCAAATTCGTCCGAAGCATTTTTTATGACTTGGGTTTCAACGACGGAAGAATCTTGAAAACAAATAAAAGTATACTAACAAAAATAAAATCGCACCAAGTCCACATACCTGTGCGCTTTGACATTCAAAATTAGAGTTTTCTGATCAATACACATTTTTAGACTATTGACTGGAACTAAGAAATTCAATAAATATCCAAAACATTATAAATTTACTAAGAAAGCAGAAGATATTATATAGGTAAATCAATAAAAATGAGCAGAAAGAACAAAACTGTCGTCTTCAATGCTTTACATTACTTTTGTTCTCTTTATTAAACATTAATTGGAATTTTGAAAGCGAGTTAATTTCAAGTAGGGATAAGTAATAATAAAACATGAAAACTGTAATTAAGTAATGAATGTAGATTAATAACATTAAATAAATCAAGCAAAATTAAATATGATGTAGACATAATAAGTAAGAATCGGTTTCAGTCATAAGTTTGAAAATTTAAAATATGTGAAACATGGCTTGAATTGTTTACTAATCTTCAGGAAATATCAGTTTGTACCATAGCCTAAGCTGCAGATCACGATAACGTAAGCCTATTTGATGCCATCGGTACCATGCCAAAACTATGAATCTGCAGAATTGCTCTTTGGAGAACAGCCGTTCAAAAGTGTCAAGGTTTTGAAAAAAATAGCTTTTTAAGTTCTTCACAATAATTATTACGTATTTGTCTCACAGAGTATGTTCACACTTGTTTGTGGAATGGGGAAAAAGTACATGAATAGTCCACCACAGAATACGGAAAAGTACATCCGTTAAAACAGAAAAACAGAAAAAAATACACATTCATGGTTTTAGCCTGGGGAAGAAAATACACTGGGTAATACTAGCTAATTCATCCAGTAACACAATCTGAATGAAGTGTATAAGGGACCTGAAGTATCAGCTTACTTTTACTGCAAAAACAAACTCTAAATACGCCCAGAATTCATGCATTGAAACAGCTGTTGTTTGTGTCTTAAATTTGAAAATGATGCCCGATCAAAATAAGGAGTGTTTTTAATCAAGTTTTAAACAGCTTACAAGTTAAAATGGGAATGAAGAAAAAAGAAATGCATATAAAAATTTGATGTACCCTGGGTTATATCATGTAATCTTAACTATACTTCGTTACATTAATTACTATTTGTATAACATAGTTATAAAGTTGTTTCGTTGAGTCTGCGCTTATAAATATCGCCCTGCTACGACTCCTTATAGCTGAAGAATATAATACACCTGAAACATATCACAGATTAAATATAAAGGATGAAACAAATTATACACATGACAATACCGTGTGTAAACTGTATCACGTATTTTAAGAAGAAAGAGATGTTCACGGGAAGAAAGTTTACAGTTGTAGAGACATTAGGTTAATTCAAAAAGCCAAAGAGATGAAAAATTAGCAACCACCTTCGCCGGGAATCGAACCACGGACCTCTGGAATACCGGACCAGCGTGCAGAACCACTACATCACGAACGCACGTTAGGAAGTGGGAGAAATACCTTACACAGTAACTGACGATTTCTCACAAATTCTTTTCGGATCTTTTTCGTCATGAACATCGCTTCATCCATCTTAAATTTATGGCACCATTTAGGCACAGTACTATCATGTGCGTTACCCTAACTTTAATATTACTTATTTATAAGTTGAGCTTGATTTTTACCTTACACTTCTCTGGAAGTTCATTAATAAAGCAACTTTTGCATTTCCCAGGAGCGTTAGGTTCTGTCAGGCATCTTTTTACATATGCTTCACGTATGAAAAGTTTATGCTGTGCATTAAAATTTTCTCTTCATTCACTTTTTTTATTTTTAAGCTTTTCTTAATTTAATACCCTTGTAGAAAGTTTTCAGCATAAAATGTTTGCTTATTTCACAGACTGAGGTGTACAATATAAGTGTAAATAAGCAAACAAACAACGCTTATTTCACAAACTGAGGTGTACAATATAAGTGTAAATAAGCGAACTCTAAAGTATGTGTATTCTGTAACAACATGTGGTTATTTTTAACAGCAACAAGCTTTATTAAAATTTGTAACATTACAATTAATTAAAAGGATTTCTTATTCCGTCTATTAGGTGTTTCTCGATTTGCTCTCTGATTCTTCTAACATACCGTCTATATCAGTGATTGTGATGTATGATGCTATTAAAACTCTGAAAGAACAAATTGATTGCCATCGTCGTCTCTTGGATACATAAACTGTAGTTATGGGTTTCTACCTTTCATTTAAAATTTAATATAAGACGTCACTTAGTTTTGAAATATCAAAATGTACCGAAAATATAATGCCTTTTGAAGCTCAATTTATTTTTTACTAACTGGTTTATGATAGTGAAATTTCGTGTTCTTCTTTCGATATCCCTCACACTGTATTCGCTCTTTTGTGTATTATATTCCAAATATTAAGATATTTTAAATAAAATAAAAATTAAATATTTTCTTCTTCGACATAAAATTGTAAAATATACTGCGTGAGGGATTTTGGAAAAACAAATCTCTATAGTTCCTTTTTCCCGCGAATTAGAAAAATAATTACTAAGTAAAATGACTTGCTTTAAAAATAATCGAGTAATATTTCCTTGAAAAAATATTTTTTATGTTTCGGACCCCTAAATCGACTTTTTTTTAGCACAAGTTTATGCAAAAAAAGGGTAATTGGTCATTTCATATTCAAATAAAGTTTCTACATTGGGCCATTTCAAAATTCTGACTAATGGTTTTGAAGAAATTATGGCCACAAGTAGGAAAATATAGTTTCTAAAAATATCTACTTATGTCTCCTTAGATATTAGCCTTCAAATCTTGTAACTGTATATTACATTCTTAATATTAATAAAAAATTATTTGTAAGTTTGCAAGTAGGCATAATTATAAGTTAAAGCATTATTACAAACATTTCGTAATAACTGCAATTTTAATTGAGACAATTAAAAGTGAGGAATCACCTTAAAATATCGTAAGCACATTACCTTCATCAAGAGGAATAAACATACGAATAGCTAAGCTAATAAGTTAGCTTTTCAATCACACGTATCTAGTTATTTGTATAAAGTAGTATACAGCAGAATTTTATGTTATAGTTCAGGAAAGCTAATACAAGGAATTTTCTAAAATACAAATAATGTAAACAAATCATCTGATTCCTCAAATGGCAAAAGCTTTAAACTATTGTTTACCCTAACTTTGATTCTACAGCTAATTTTTGTATGGGGGATATGTTTGAGATGTTTATACAAAACCGAATTTTAACATGGATAAAATAATTGTACGTTTTTAGCGTATTTTTAGGCACCTGATCTATTAAATGGTAAAAACAAGTTTTATCAGATGCAAACACTCTGCAGTATTACTTTAATTAAGAAATAAAAATAAAATTTATCATTTCTTGCTTCCCTTCAAAAAATAATCAATTCATGGAATTCGTATTCAATTTACATATGCACATTTTTTATATCATAAAAAATCGACTGATATTTTTTTAATTTACATATTATAAACACATTCTAGTAAATAATTTACATTTCAAATCATAAATTTGTATTTTTTTGGATAGATTCACCTATCTTAATACTACGAGAATGCTAGTTTATACTTCATTCTAAATGCCATAATCTCTCTTCTAGAGTCTAAAGGATCAAAATGATCAAAAGTTTACTGTTATTTTTTCTAGGGGACAGAATGGAGAAGTTAACATTATGGACAATCTGCTATCGAGAATGGAGCAGTACGCTAATAATTTGGAATCTCTGGTGGAACAACGCACTGCTGCTTTTATGGAAGAAAAGAAAAAATCCGAGGAGCTCCTTTACCAAGTCTTGCCCAAGTACATCCGATGTGATTAGGAGAATTATGTTGAATTCGTTATCAAATTACTTCTTACAAAAACAATGTTTAGCCTATAAAGAAAATGAAACACAAAATATTTTGCACTTTAGGGATCTTTCAATTGAGAATCGATAGAAATAACAGCAAATATACAATTGAAATTGGTTATATATCAGGATTGCGGACTTCAAATTTTCAATATTTTTTCGTTGATGAATTCAAAGCAACGCAAATAGGTTCAACACGCGGCGTTAACTTTTTTTTAAAAAATCTGTCGTTGATCATGATTTCCCAGTATAGCTATTAAATTACATAAATTTTTTTCCGTACTTCATTTAAACTTATTTCATTTGTAAGATATATACGATCCTTTAATTCTTTAATAAAGTGGAAAGTTACAAAATTGCTAAAATATTGGTTTTTAATAACATCAAGTATTTACACAATTATTAATTCAACAATCTCACCTAAAATATTTAGCTCCTTTGTTACTATTTAAATAAATGTAAGTCTTTTATTTACCTATTGCTATATTTTTAAACTATTATGATTTAACCATCAACAAAATGGAAGCCACCTAACCGGATAGTGGTTAGCGTCACTGATTACCGAAGGGCCCGGGCTCGAATCTCCGAGAAGGCATGGAAGTTTGTAAATATATAATGTCCGCATGGGGGCACTCTAAATATGCGGCGAGCCGAAAGTCCTCTCGAGAGGTTTCTGGTAAGGAAAGAGAGCTGGGAAACACTAGGACCCGTCCCATCGGAGGGATCTCCGTCAAAATGGTGCTCATGGCCAACGACAGGCCAACACCAGGTGTAACTGGCCAACACCAGGCGCTCCTTGCCACGAGGGATTTCGTGGGCATGGACTGACTATAGGTCAGACAAGTGAGCATTAGCAGCAACAACGAAAATGGAAGCAAAAACAAAACACTGGAAATTTTGTAACATGTTTTACTGGGTTTATACCTTTCGAGTATTGTGTCCCTTTCGGCACTGCCGATTGTAACCAGTTATTAAATTGTATAGCAGTGTCAAATACAAATTTTAACATTTTACGGCGATCCGTTTTTAAGTTTTTCGACATACGTACGTATAGACGTCACGAAGGAACTAGTCAAAATAGATTCGAGAACGGTTCAAATTTCAGATTTCTGATGAAATATGAAAACTGAAATTTTTCGCGATTATTTCTTTTTTATTATAAAGAAATAAAATTAATTCATATTACTAATAATAATATACAAGGAAGATTTTCATTTGTATAACACTATAAATTTTGATATAATTCTTCTTTCAAATGATTTCTGGTACATAAAATTTTATGTTTTGTTGTAATGAAATTTTTTACATAGCAAGCAGATTTTATACTTTTGATAACCTGATATACAACGCACACTAATATAGATACCAGGGCAATTTATTATTAAGTTATAAAGCATTTTCTCCCTCCTTTTCGAGCACCTTTCACGGTGTAACTGGAAGATACGGAGTTCGAATCTCGGCGAGGACACTGCGGATTTCTACAATTTCCTGACATCGAAATGTTCTCAAATATTCTGCAAGTGGCGCCCTAACTAAAAGATAGCGGACGATAATTCCTCACCACCAGGATTTAGCGATGAGCTCCACTAATCCCATAGTCGCCCTTTTAAGAGGGAAAAGTATATAAGGTATTTTCTTCCTCCTTTCCACATACCTTTGTGGTGTAATTGGTAGCACGCTCAAGGCGTATTCGGGATGCTCGGAGTTCAAATGCCGGGGAGGGCATTGAACATATTTCACATGCCTAAATTGATATAACCTAATGATTTTTCAAAGTAACTGAAACATGTAAAGTTGAAATATAATATAAAATTTTTCGTACTGTATTAACTTACAGAGCAGTTTTTTTTTTTTTTTTTTTTGTGTGTGTGTGTGATAAAACACCAGAATGTTAGATGTCATGTTTCTGGCATATTCCTGGTACTAACAACTTTTCATATAATGAGAAAAATACTGTACTTAGCATTGTAATGATGTACAGTGGATGGACAAAAATATGGAAACACCTTGTGAAATGCATGTTTGAAAAGAAAGATTGATTTAAATGAAATATGTAGGTGGCGCTGGCGTTTTTGACTACTGACGCTACCTATACAACATCGTAAATGTGCTAAACAGTTCAGTTGTTGTCGGTGTACTGTTATGTGAGGCTGTCATTGCATTATGTCAGAGTTAACAGACTTCGAACGTGGGCACATTGTTGGAGCACGTATGGTAGGTGCTTCCGTAAGCAAGGTAGCCGAGGTGTTTAGTGTTTCAAGAGGTACTGTATCGAAGATTTATTCCGCATATTTGAAAAGCGGGAAACATTATCTGCTAAATCACAGCGCAGACGAAAGTGTGTCCTGAGTGATCGTGACAGACGATCATTATTGGCAATTGTGACGAAAAATAAGAAGACCGCAGCTGCAAAAGTTACTGCTGAAATGAATGTTGTGTTACCGAACCCTGTGAGTACCAAAACAATTAGAAAGGAGCTTCATAAACAGGGAATTGCTGGCCGTGCTGCAATTGAGAAGCCACTCATCAGTGATGCTAATGCCCGTAACAGGAAAAGGTGGTGTTTAAGTCATAAAGCCTGGACTATAGAGCAGTGGAAGCGAGTAATAGGGTCTGACGAGTCTTCTTTCACATTGTTTCCCACTTCTGGCCGAGTTTACGTCTGGAGAACGCCATCTCAAGCCTATAATACAGACTGCTTGTTGCCAAGAGTGAAACATGGCGGGGGTTCTGGTACGGTTTGGGCAGCCATATCGTGGTTCTCTGCTAGCCCCATGATAACTGTGTCAGGGCACATGACTGTCGAGACTTATGTGAACATTTTGGCCGATCAAGTTCATTCCATGGTACAAACTTTGTTCCCCGATGGTGATGGTGTCTTCCAAGACGACAATGCCCCTGTTCACACAGCTCACATTGTCCAGGACTGGTTTTCTGAGCACGAGGATGAGTTGTCCCATCTGCCCTGGCCACCACAGTCACCAGACCTGAATATTATCGAACCTTTGTGGTCTACATTGGAACGGAAAGTGCGTTCTCGTTATCCACCGCCAACATCGTTATCTGAACTTGCCACCGTTTTGCAGGAAGAATGGTATAATATTCCCTTGGCAAACATACAGGAACTGCATTTATCCATTCCGAGGAGACTGCAAGCTGTTTTGGATGCCAACGGGTTTCCTACACCATATTAAGCAAAGAAACATGTTTTTTTAAAGGTGTTTCCATATTTTTGTCCAACCCCTGTATTTTGTAAACTAAATGCCTGTTGTTCTGACAATATTAATTTACGAGGCAGTTTTTCAGCTGAAAATTTCAATAACATTTTTTAGCCATCTCATCCCTTATACGGACAGCTCTTTCGCTCACAATTTGTATTAGTACAGCTCTTTCGGTCACGATTTCTGTAAAGACCTGCAACAGTTTTTACTAGCTTTATTGGTAATTTTACCAAATAATTAATTTTATTACAAAAAAATAATTATTATAATAATACAGACTTAAGAAGTATGTTCTCAAATTTTATTTTTCTTTTTCAATTTAATTTTAACACCATAAGGTCAGAAATAGCATTTGTAACCAACATACAGGAGTTCATTAATTAATTAGTTGAATTATTGTTAACTTACCTACGTATAAACATGTACGAAACATGCACGAATGTGTAATCGTTTATTATAATGAAGTTCATTTATTTTAAGACTAAGACTCATCGTATACCAAATAATTCTGAGTTAATAATTCAGCTTAAATGCAGTCTCAAATTACGGAATGGGTTGCCGAGATGCTGGAGGTTTTCAAGTAAGCCGCGACTTAATACACCACTAAATAAATTATTGAATTAAAATCTAAAACAGAGAATTGTTTTTGAGTTAAATTGTGTATTAGTGTTTATAAAAATACTATTACAAATAATATGCGATTCAACTCAAAAACATTTTTCTGCTTTATATACTAAAAATATTTTTATGTCAAATGAAGATGTGATGTAAAATAAAAAATTAAAGGTGTGTGAGCCTTTTAAGAACTTTTTAAGCTGATTATTAAGTTCGATTGGTTTTATTTTGTAATGGCTAATATATGTAATATTGTACAATACTCACTGTACCTACTTTGCAAGAATACCTATGATTGCAGCAGTGTTGTAAACACAGGAATCATTAAATATAAAATTTGGATCAAAAGTTTTGACAAATTCAAACTTTCTTTTGAAATCACCGATAGGAACCAAAAATGGAGGTGCATAACTAGATATTATAGCAGACCCATTTACAAAATTTCAACATTCTACAACTAACTGTTTTTGAGTTATACGAAAAATTCAAAAAAAAACCTTCGAATGAAACAGCCTTTCGGCCCGGCCGATTGCAATAAAAAAAGAGAGGTGCACAATTAGATGCTATAACAGTTCCATTCACAAAAATCAACATTCTGCGGCTAATCGTTTTTAGTTACGCGAGATACGTACGTACGTACAGACATCACGAACTGAAACTGGTCAAAATGGATATTTCCGTTGAAATCTGAAATGTTTCCGATGCTCTAAACAAAATATTTTTATCTTATACTTAGCTTATCGCCATTCGACAAAGTATAGGATATCTAATTTTTTCAAATTTACTAATCAGAATCATTATAATACTTACATATATTTTAAATTTTTATAATAACTATTTTAGGTGACTAGTCCTTAAAGTTGTAACGTGAAGAAATCATGAAGGTTATCTAGTTTATCTTATTTAACTATCTTTAAACTGGAATCGTGGATCTATGATTAAACATTCAAGAGATATTTAGTTGTATTCTCCATTTCAATAAACATTGCATAATCTAACACAAGATAAAATTTACGTATTGATATTTCAATATGATGACATATTTTTGTATCCTTGAATTTTAGATCAGTAGCAGAGCAGTTAAAAAGAGGGAAATCGGTTGAACCGGAGTTCTTTGATAATGTCACGGTTTTCTTCAGTGACGTAGTTGGGTTTACAAATATGTGCTCACTTAGTACACCTATCCAGGTGAGTTTTCATAAAATGTAAATTTTTATCTTATTTAAGTATTCTGCTTGCATACCGGTAATGTAATATTACTAGTTTCTGCTTGAAGTATTTTTCAATTTTTATTTTTAATTTACAGCAATAGAATTTTATTTAGAATATCGACTAAACTTAAATTTTGACAGTGTTCCACTGTGACTTTTGAGTGTTACCTCGATAAATTTATTAATCTATTATTCTTAAACTGGAATTTCAGCTCAGCTAAGACTCGTTGTTTAAATACGACTATAAAAATGGTAGTCGCATTGTAATAAATGTTTCATATTTAATATCGTATGGTGTTGCTACAAGTAGTAGATATTATATTTTAATTAAAGGTGTCTGTATTTTAAAAAGCAACTATTTAAGATCTTCTAAGGTGAATTCTACGATGATGATGAAATTATTTAAATATTTCTTGATCGTTCAAATATTTCTTGATGGAACCCTATACAATTAATAATTGGATAAAACTAAAAAAGAAATCTGAAAGCATTCAGATATTATATTACTCCCAAAAGGACGTTTTTCTGAACGTTTTGTGCGTTAATTTTATTTATGAAATATGATGTTCTTCGCACTTACAACACGTCAAATTCAATTCAACAGCAATATCAAAAATATTTAAAAACAGCAAAGCTTTAGAATTTTCGATACACATGCTAGAGATATTTTTTTTCCGTACAGTGTTGCCATTACTTTCTTTGAAATCGTTGGGTTTGTTAACCAAAAATTCGTTAATATATTACAAAACTTTAAATAGATAATAAAATAAATTCGAAATTCTGGCTTCCAAGTGCCCATGTTCGGTTGAAGGACTACGTTATTCAAAATTTGATAGCTCTAGGTACCGTTATTTCTTCACAATGCAAGAAACATTCATGCAGATTCTTCATTATTTAGTTTTTTTAAATATAATGCATGGCGGTAATATTTGGCTGCAACAGTCTGAAAAATGAATCGATACAAAACGCCGGTTCGAAATTAATAGCCCTTCTGGGCCAACGTCCTTTGGCTAATAAAATTTGATGTGCAAATAAAATTCTTATATAGTTTGCATTGAAATATAAATTTGCGCAGCAGATAAAGGGCACATCAGCAATCTCAAAAACTGTTTCTAAAATTCAGAATTATTATAATTTGAAAGCTTTAATTCAAAGATGCGCTTTAAGATTACAGTTTATGCCAATCAGAGAAATAACAAACGTTCGATAGCAGTTGATAATAGGAGAAAACTTTCGATTAAATTAGAGGATATTTTAATTTTAATCTAAGTTAGGCGAAATTAATATTAGATTTGTGCGGAATTTTTTTTTAAATTCAATTTCGGGAAAAGAAAAAGTAAAAGTAATCTTTCAAAATCTAGCATATTTTTCTCATACTGTTTGTTCTTTGAAGATACTTCTGAAAGAATAAAACTCTCGAATGCCTCTCGTAGAATGCCTCTCGAAACATAGAAAACCACTTTTTAAAATCAGTGTTAAATCATTGCATAAAAAATTTCTAACAAATATAAAGCAGGCTATAGTTCCAAATTCCTAATGAGGGAAGAATATAAAATTGCTCTCTTTTGTTAAAATATATAAAATAAGTTCTTCTTTCCGTCTTATATCCCTCCTGGGGTAGCGTACACTTGCTTAGTTTTTTACTATGATAATAGCGGCCCTGGAGGGGGAGGGCACAATAACACGAACTTGGTTCCTACTACCAGAAACGGCAGCTTATGCTGTTTCGGACGAAAGTGGCTTCGGCCATCCCAGTAGGAGTGACGATCTCGTGGCTCCGCGCCCTGCATCGTGCATCGATCTCTGCGAGCTCACGAATCCTGCCCGACACGGAAAGATTCAGTTGGGCTCGCCTTGTAGTTAAGTGATAATGAACACGCGGAAGAAATACATAACAAGAAGTTCCCTCTTGTATATAATGGGCGGAAGGAAATACGAAATCTCATAAACCTAAATTTATATCGCTAACGTGCATCTACTCTTTAATACTAGCCATGTCATAGTTAGAATCGTTTGGCAGGAAATACCAGCTTATTCTTCTCTTTCCAATTATAATAATAGTAACAAGAGAGCAAAAACAGTTATAATAACCAAAAGAAAAAAAAATCTGATGTGTACACCATATGACTTCCTTGTACGGAATATTAAATTACAGGCATTTTTTCTTGCATTTCATTTAAACTTATTGGATTGAAATAAATCTACTTCGCCGACAGCGCATAAACCACAATAGAATAAATGTATTCTTTAAAATTCACTCTAGTATTTGTTTACCATAGCGACACTCTGGCGCTAGATTCACTTAACAGTATTATATTTCGTTCATATTATAACTCATAATGCACAAAATTTATATCATTTAAAGAATTATCTAATCGTTGCCACATGTTCCATTCAAATACAATAATAAAGCTAGAACGATGTATAAAAGAAATTAAGCCCCAAAAAAAAAAAAAAAAAAAAAAAAAAAAAAACTTTTTAGAGACAATTGAGTATTTTTCACTCAATTAATTCAGTTCTCACTTCACGACAAGGCAAAAATACATAAGATCTCAAAATATCTGTATTAAAAACTACAAAGTAAATCTTAAATACTTATTTCGTCGAAAAAATTCCAGAAAGGATTAAGCATGATTTAATTCGCAATAATCAATGAAGGCGTTATATTTGTTCTTGTGAAGCTAAGTTTCTCTAATTGGCAACAAATCCACTAACCTTCTGTTTCAAATGTAAACAAGCAATGGCCGCCTTCAAAAACATTATTAGGCTTAGCGGCACTTAAACAACTTTAAAATTGTTGATAATTCTAAAAATAATGCATACAGATTTACTAAAGGCATAAAAACCTTAACCGAAGATAAGAAAAACATAATTCAATCATTTTTAAAGCAAAAAATTTACAATTTACAAACTTATAAGAGTAAAGAAATTGAGATCACTGAGCCGTGTAACGGAGTGGATATATATATATAAATATATTTACATACGTTTAGTGCGACCGATTGCAACCAAAATACGAGGTGCACATCTACATGTTATAGCAGTCCTATATACAAAATTTCAAGGTTCTGAGGCTACTCGTTTTGAGTTATGCGAGATACGTACGAACGTTCGTACAGACGCCCCGAAAGATTTTCTTCAGAATTAATTTTAAAGCAGTTTTATAATTTTTTTGGAGGAAACGAGTCTTTTATTCTGCCCTTACGTACCTATATTTTGTGTTTTTATGTATTTTTGCCTTCTCTCAAAATGAAAACTGAATCACGCAAAAACATCGTTGAATTGCATTCGATAGCGGTCAAAATGGATATTTTTGTTGAAATATGCTGCGTAAAACTTTTCGCGATTACAATACTTCCTTTTTACTTCGTACAAGGAAGTAAAAAGGATTTTTATATACTTTTAATCCAATTACTGCCATTGCTGTTGCTGTTGTTATTTTTCAATTAAAATGTTTCAATAAACAGGGAACATTCGTTTAAAACCAGACGTATTTGCAGCAGAATAGTCACGACGAAGTATAGCATTCAGATAACAACCGTTCTTAAAATATTATTATTTACCCAATGACACTAATTATGTAACTTCTTACGGTATTGAGATATTTATCCTAAATTAGAATAAAATGAAAATGGTTTTATTAATAGTAGAATGATTAATAGTTTTATTAATAGTAGAAAAAAGAAAATGGAAACTTGATTTGGTATTTTCATCTTAACCGCATGCCAGCAATTAATTACTGATACGCACTAAATGAAGTGACAAATAACCTTTAGTTTCCTGGCCAAACGTTTTAGGAACACAGTTCAGTGTTGAGTGTATAGTTGCGTTAGATTCATGTGCTCTAAGTTTTCTGTTTTCAAGTCGGAAAATTTTTTACGTAACGCTTCATAGTTATGAATCTGTGAAACTTACTTTAATAAAACGGATTCTGTCCGCTAGTCAACAAATTGGTTGTTGATTTGAATAATGGTCTGCGAAAGATATGCGTCCTTTGAAATGGCGTTGATTTCATTGTGAAAAAGAACAAAAGCACGTTTCCAGTGCCCAAAAATAATGATGAAACAATACTCCCTCCTCAACGTCGTATTTTTTGCGATACGAAAGAAACATTTCTTGTCATGGTCTTCGATGGTTTTCCAGTGCTATCCGTAGATCATAATACTAATGCATATTATGTTAATGAACAGAAAAAAAGTCTATTTAAGGTGGATCGACCATTTTTTCCGACTATTGGAAGGCCTGTAAGAAGGAAAAATTGATTACAATTCCTGGAAAGTGAAGTGTTTATATTCATTGTAACGTGAATAATGAATACAATTCACATTGATCCTGAAACTAGCATGCACAGACAGACTACAAAATGCATCTGTGGAAGTGCAAAATGGTGAAATATATATCAAGGGACATTTCGCCATCACTTCGAATCCTACATTGCGGAGTTTATGTGGAGTTAAAAAACAAGTGCTAACTGATAATGAAACGTTTGATGCCATCTTAAAAGCAATTGCTAAACATTTTCCACGCGAAACAAAACTCGGTTTATATTCACCGAAGGCATAAGGCTAATACGAAAGTACCAGTGATTGCTTATTAGTTGAATATTGTACTGAATAGTATGATAGCTTTAGGAAAATAATTTTAGCATTCTTATAGATCAAATCATAATATTAGAAGAGAATGCTATAGAGAATGGTAAGAATTATGTAAGTTATTATAGTTATGTAAGTTATTATAATATGTAAGTTATTATATGTGTTTCTTTGCTTTGACAAGGAACAAAATGAAAATATTTTTAATAGATAGCAAAGGATTCCATGCACTTTAAAAGTGAAAAGAAAAAACGCGATTCCCATTAAATGAATATTTTTATATAGTTAGTAAACTACCGAAATAAAGTAAACCAGGCTTTTCTCGAAAATATATTAATACTCTAAATAAATACGTACTTCAGCCATCAGTGTTTTGGCTTTTATGTGGAACTGTATTCTTGACTAAAATCTTAATTTAATTCATCAGTTACTTATTTTTACAACAGAGATGGAATTTTTAAAGTTTAGCAACTATCTTGTATGTTTTTAACAAAAATTATCGTATTCTTTGATAATTTTGTAAATCTCGCTTTTCTTCGCTTGAATCCGTTTCGTGTTTTATAAAAATAACCAGATATCTGAAATTTTTATTAAGAATAAGGTAGTTTTCTTCTTGAGAAAATAAATTAGAGAAAGTAGGAAAATATATTTTTGCTACATATGAAAGTGTTCAATAACATCTGTAAGTTACTTGTATCATCACGTAAATGCTACCAAAAAGCGTTTTCAGTATTTCAATAAACGATAAACTGTCTATAACTGATTTTGAAGGAAAAACGTTTAATCTTCGTTTAACCACTGAAGACAATTTGCTTTTGTAATCTTCATTTCTTGAAATTCTTCTCATTTTGTGCATTGAAATATTTATCATGGAGAAGCATATAATCTTGATTTGTTTATTTGTAATTTTTTCAGGTATTCGTTTATCTCATGTCTCTTACAACTTTAAGCATTTTCTATACAATTTTTACAGGTCGTAGACTTTTTGAATGATTTATATACATGCTTCGATGCAATCATCAACGACTTCGATGTCTACAAGGTAAAAGCTTTCTTTTTATCATAGATTTTTGCATATTTTTAACAAAACGTTGCCTTAGAAATTAAAAGTGTTTATGTGTATAAGAATGTTAACTCAGCTTATACTATTGTCACTATTACAGTAACAACTGTAAAAAATATTACGTATATTTAATAGAAAAGCGGTAGTGTCAAATTTATCTTTGTTTAACTACATATCTTCATGTCCACCCGCGGAGCGAATACTATTTAAAACACTAAACGCTACATAGAACAGAATACCCATGAAACTTCCATGAACAGAATGCCCTCTGAATTTAAGACAGTTATTGATTTACCACATCATAAAGGCTTCCACGACATGTCGCAGAAGTAAAAAATAACACACCGAACAAATATTAATTTAGAAGTCTGTAGACATTAGGTATTTTTGGAAGCAGGCAAGATGAAAAATGAGCAAAAGTCTTCGCTGGAAACGAACCACGGACCTCTGGAATACCGGCCCAAGGTGCAGAACCACTACACCACGAAGGCACGCTAGGAAGGCGGGAGAAATACCTTACAAGTCAAACAATAAAAATCAGCGTTATATTTGCAAATTTTGTGAAACTCATGAAAACGAGCTTTTTTAAATGGCAGTCCCGATTTTATTTTGTAAACTTGAAAGAAATATAAATTTAATTAAATTAAAAAATTGATAGTTTACTAAATTAATTAATGGAACCATTTTCATTCATGCATTCTTACATATATTTATTTTTGTATTTATAAATGACGTTTTAGTGGCGTGATCTCAGAAACAAATAATTAACTGGAAGCGACAGATTTCATACTACATCATTACCAAATAGGTGAGGTTTAATTGGCAAATTTGCACACTAAGACATTAATGATAATAATAAATAAAATTAAATTATGAATATATCCCTTCATATATTGTATTTTTAATGCAATAACGCAAAATTTGCTCTAAAAATTCTTACTTTCTCACTTATGGATAAGACATTAGTGAGAAGATGGCTTAAGAAACGTTTAGAAGCACAATAGAATCACTACTTTTATGCATGGAAGCTAGTCTAACTATTCTAACTAGCTATTCTATAAGAAGTTTTCAAGTATGGAAGTTGCAACAGAATGTAGCTAATGAGCAAGGTGTTTGTTAAAAGCAGAGATAAGATATTTAAAAGGAAAATGTGGAAGGTTGGAGGGGTAAAGAAGTCAAATATTTTTTCCCAAATGAGAGCCGTGATCCTCCGCAAGCATCTTTATAGACTTGAAGGGGAAAATATCAGTTAAAAATATTCAGCTCTAAGGAGCAATCTGTAATCTGATAACGTATATGAGGTTCTGAACATGACTATTTTTAGCTCCCCTTCCATTTTATGCTCTTGCATGTAGTCGTGATTACTGCAGGAATTTAGTGCTTAACTTAATTTGCCATCCGTGCTTCTCATTTGGCCATAGGCTGCTTATCACTTTAAGTGCATTTTGAATCTTCAAAAGACTATTTACACCCGTTTTAATCATAGATAACTAAAACCGCGCATACGAAATTTACGGATACAAGAACACGACTGTATATGCCCATGTAAAGTTTTTCAAGCAAATGATGTTCTAAAATTGAGTTTACAGATATCTATATCCGGTCGCTATGCTAACACTCCAAATGAGCGGGCACCCTTTTGCCGAAGAAAAGATATCTATATCTAGAATCACGATAGCGGTCAGTCTGGCTGTTCTATATATACACACAGCTAAAAGCTTATCGAAAAATATTAGTAGAAAATATGTAATATATAGTATTATATATTTAATAATAGTAGTGAAAGAAAGAAAGGTAAGTACAAATAAGCAACTTCTCTAACAGCTAAAACATTAATCCTGGTGAAGTTTGGTTATTTGAACATGGCAAGTACACGAACGCAATCTGCCTAGGATTAGGGATACTTTCGTGAAGAAATTTCTTCACGAAGGTAGAATTGGCTCTGAAATTGGGCCTTCTGAAATTGCCTCACGAGCCTCATGTGCCTTCTGAAGCCTCACGTGCCTTCTGAAGCCTCACGAGCCTTCTGAAATTGCCTCACGAGCCTCACGTGCCTTCTGAAGCCTCACGTGCCTTCTGAAGCCTCACGAGCCTTCTGAAATTGGCTCGTATTCAGGTTATACATGTAAGGTGAAAGAGGATGATCTTAAAAGATGCCTTTTCAAGTGTACAGGAGGAAAAGTGTGCAGATGAAATGTTTGCGTCATTAGGTTAGGTTAGGTTATTTGAATGCGGCAAAGCATACGAGGGCTATACGGCTAAGGAAAGGGAGCCATAGTGGGAGGTTCTTTCTACAGGAAAACTGATTCGGGAACTGACACAAGGAAAACCACAAAAACTATCCATGCAACCAGCCCGTTCGTCTGCCGTAGAACCCAGGTCGAACTAACAGTATTCAACGATCTTAACTGCTTAGCCACTGGTGGGGAGTTTTGTCACTAAGTTTGCAGAAATGCACATGGTATGAATCAAATTAAAATGTTAAAAAAAATGTTCTTTACCTATAAAAACAAAAATTTTCCGAAGAATATTATCATGGAAGTTTACAAATCCTTTTTTCAACTCGAGAAGAAAAAGCCGCACTTTGCTTACCTAAGATGGACACTTAAAATCTAAAGGATTACGTTTAAATGAGAAAAAGAAAAGTTTTTGAATACTGACATCTTTCCGCAAAATATTCTAGGCTACTTTTCATGCAGCAGATATTATGGCTTTTCACATAAACACAAAACTGACCGTAAATCAACCTTAAGTACTCAGAAGTGTCTTCCTTCTGAGTACTTTATATTCAAATGTAAATGAAGAATGAAGAAACTTCTAGAAATTGTTTCATTTTATAAGGCTATAAAGTTCAGTGTGGGCATTTTTAAATCAAATGGCTAAATTGCATTTGGTAAAATGCTGAGTCTACACGTTAAGGTAACCTGAATATTTTTAGCATTTCGTTTCCGAAATGATAAATGTGCTAACATTTTAGAAAAAAGTTACTCGAGAAATTCGAGAAAAATGTACTTTAGTATTTATTTAAAAATTTTTTAAACAGTTTACTTATTAATATGAAAGTATGCACATCTCTTTATATACACAGAATCTGGCAAAATAACGTCCTTCTGTAAAAAGTAGAGTAAAAGTGCATAAAATATGTTACCTTTAACCTAAAATATCACATGACAAGCTTCATTATTATATATTTATGATTTTAAATAAGAAATCTACATGTATAAGAAAAATAATTATTATAAATTATTATCATTTAGATTTTATTTAATAATTCAGCAGCATGTCTAGCTAGCACCTGGAAGATCTACGTTCAAATCTAGATGAAAGCATAATTAGCTTTTCAAGTTTCCTGATTCAAAACATTAATAATTTATACAATTTGCTTCTTAATGCATTTTATTCATGAAACTGGTTTGGGCCAAATGCGCCTTTAATATTCATGCTTGCCTTTTAACTATTCCACTTAAATCAACATAAATAAAAGTTTGGTTTATTTAATTACGGCAAAGCACACTAGGGTTATCTGCCAAAGGGGAGGGATGCCTTCGCGGAGGACTTTCTAAGGGAAACTGGCTCGTATACGCGTTACACATGAAAAAAACCGCGAGGACTCCCATGCAGCCGTCCCGTTCGTGGGATTCGAACCTCGGACCGAACTACCAGTGTTCAGCGACTTTACCGCTCGGCCTCTGGTGGGCCCATAAATAAAGGAATGCCTTCATTTTCCTGAAACATTTCTCCCATAAAGTATTTGGTAAAGGTCGCAAAATATTTAATAATCTAATGTAGATATGGATTGCGTTTCTGAACAGGCTTATATCTGCAATTTACAGATGAAATTTCGTTTCTAAAATTTTTATTTTAAAAACCAATCTTTGAGAAAGTCTTCAATGACTTATTGCATAATTTGCAGCTGCAAGACAGACTTTCATTTCTTAGGTTGTAATTTTGAGCGAAAATTCATCATGATGTCAAATTCTGAGTGATTTGTAAACACCGCTTTTGACACGCTTCATCCAAATTGACAAGCCAGACCTAAAAATTGGATATTTGGTGATACTCAGAGCCCATGAAGAATTATTCCTTTTTTATGTACGCTGTAGCATTAGACATCAGGTTAAAACATATAACTGGAATGATTTTTTGTAACACTGTTTATGCTCCAACCTATTTATTTACATCTATAAATATACCTGTTATACATGTTTGTTTTTCTCGTACTAAAGGCTTTTATATATTATTTAAGTGTTATTTATTTCTTTGTTGTTTAATCGCAATATTTCATAAATATTTTCATAAACATCAAAACATTTTCTTGTAATTTACTAGTTTACAAAAATCATGTGAGTACATTTGTGACATCAAAAATCATGACAAAAATCATGTGAGTACATCATGTGAGATTACATCATGCGAGTAATTTTTAATGATATTTATCAAACTATATTTCTGATATATGATGCATAAAATCAGTAGTTACATGCTATCATGAAAGTTTTTTTTGTCTCTCACGGGTTTACGCTCGTAGATGTGACTTATAGGTCTGGTAAGTCGAAAATTTGATGTTATTTAATTCAGTCTCAACTGATACGCAATTTCAATATTTCAAAGTTCCTTCTTAATTCACTATAACTTTTTTATATGCAAAAACTACTCATTCATACTTATTATAAACTTCTAGCGATGTACGTTTTAGAGATTTACTTGAAATGTTACGTTTCAATGACTAGCATAGTCTACGCGAAGGCTCTATAAAACAGAGGAAATGCAAAACATACTTTTATTAAACATACTATGGTTAAACATAATCCATAAAACAGATGAAATACTACGGTTAAACATACTCCGTAAAAGAGAGGAACTGCGAAGCATACTATGGTTGGCATCTCTTACATACTTACTGCAAAATTATAAATTCTAGCAATGTATTTATTTTAGAGATTTATTTCAAATGCCATATTCCAATGATTAGCACAGTC